TCAGCGCTCTCTGTGCCTCCGAAGTCTCTCCGTGTGTCTCAGGTCTCTCAGCGGCTGTTGGGTCTCTCAGCTTCTCTCAGGGCTCTCTGTGTCTCTGAAGCCTCTCTGTTTCTGTCAGATCTCTCAGCATGTCCGGGTCACAGCCTGTTCGGGCCCCATATGTTGCAGATCATGCTCCATTTTATTACTCGAATAGCCTGACTTTTCTAGTGAACTTAACAGGGGCGGATAGTGTCTCACACAAGATTATTGGTCAAAAGCACTCAGACAAACAACTACAAGAAAACAACCCCACCTGCAAGAAAAACAACCCCCTTGTGATTAGCAGTCACATAGACCCTGTCCTTGAAGCCAACTACTGCACAATATTTTTTCTGAATTCCTCAATTGGGCGATGTGGGAACACTGTCATGGGAACTTGGTTTGCTCAGCTGCAGCAAAGCCGTGGGATCGTTGCTGTTTCAAAAACCCTCAACACTTCCTTGGATCACCACATAATTTTGGAAGCTTTTTTTTAACCTAACAATCATTTTTAATGAATATTTGACACACTAATTCTATGAAGTTTTTAAAAATAAAGGTTAGTATAGTCACTCACCAAAAGATCTCAACCAGCTTGTTCGGTTTACTGACCTTTGGAAAAAGGAAGTTTTACGCTCATTTGTTTTGGTATGCTTGCTGGGATTGTAGTCTAACTGGTAAATTTCTCTACACCAACGCAGTTTCATGTTGAAAAACCAAGATGCTGCCATCTAGCGAAACTCAAGATTTTAAGTGGGATTTTTCTCCTGCACAGGTTAGGAATAAAAGAGGATCATGAACATTAGCTATCCGTTCCCCACAAAGAATGCAAGAAATTAACAGGATTCTCACCAAAAAAGGCCACAACAATGTTCTTCCCCAAGCAATTGCTCTCTTTATCAATCATCAAGTTTTAAGCTAGGACAATACTTGAAAAATAATTTCTTAATTGTAGATTTACCAAAGTAGCCGTTCTTAAATTTATATCAGTGTTTAACTTAGATCTGTTAAGGCAGTTAACATCATGAGACTCAAAAATTCTATGACAAAATTGAATTATAAGCTCACACCAGATCCAAGGCCACCCTAATAGTTTTCTTAATGAATTCAGAAAGCTGCCTGAACTCAGCTGGGCACATTTCTGTGGGTAAACCTGGACACGCACACAGCACGTTCGGTCACATTATGCCACTCTTGAACTGAATTCAGACACAAGCAGGAATACACTGCAACAGCTCTTATCAGCTCAACCACCAGAAAAATCTCTAAGTCTAGAAATGTTCTAGCAAGCAATTAATAAATATCCTGAAACTGTGGAAGAAAAAAAAAAAAAAAAAAAAAAGGTAGATACCTTGCTTTTCTCTTCTGGAAGGAAAAAGTCAGCTTAAAATGTATTCTTTAATAAAATACCAGAATGAAAGAAGTGAAAAAAGTGTGGTAGCCAAAGGAAATATCGTTCAATAATAATGGGAAATTGCAAAGAAAAAATGGGACAACTTGCATTTATCACTGCCAGGAAAATGAATTATTCCTACATATCTATGGCTGTGACAGGAAAGGAAACAGTGCAGTGCTGAGTTCAGCAACAGTATTTAGAACTTGTGTATTTTTAGCTAGAAATTGTTATAAGATTTCCATGACAAAGTTTTGGAAATATGAATGTTCACAACTTCTTAGTAGTTGCAGTAGTTGGCAGTTTTTGGCTATTCAAGGTGAATAGATAGTTGGGTCTTCAGTACGGATTGCAGAAGTACCCCTGTCAGGCAAACAACCCTTGTGTTACTCTTCCAATCCCACTAACTGCAGTGCATCCAGCAAAATGATGCAAAATTATTTGCCTATTAGTCTGCTATCCCAAAATGAAGTACTTAGGAAGAGATCTGGTAACGTTCAGAGCTTCATTCCTATAAAATAAAGACAAGACTTTTGATACAAAAGTCTTTGTTCAGTATGACACTGACGGTTCATGATGATTTCATTCTTAAAGGAGTTCATCTCAGGTGTTGAGTGCCAAATTTCTTCTAGCTTGGAGGAAGGGAAGGATCTGTCTTCTATCTAGACTTCAAACATTTCCTGATAGAGCAAAGATTCAGTTAGAAAGAATTAAACACTGATGACACAGATTTGTGCAACAGTAATTCGCTGCACAAACTGACTGCAGAAAGCTGTAAGACAGACAAGCAGCATAATAATGATGAAAGGGGTAAGATTACTATCAAAGACTGTTTTTAGACTGAATATTATAATCAGCATCCCCAAATCATACCGTCATGTCTCCACAAAGCTGAAGAGGCCAGCAGAAATATTTTGAGATACTTAAAATTTATTGTCAAAACAAACCTTATACAGGACGTAAAAGTAAGTTTCAAAATTCAGGTAGGCAGGATAGCAAAACAGTCTGCCATACAGCCCTGATTACAATTTATTTTTCACTCACTAGGGTAACTGCAGCATCAATTAGATCCATTGGTTACTGCTTGGAAAAAAATATTCAGATGTCACACTCCAAACAGGAAAGAGAAGTATGCTCAAAGATGATGCAAAATGCAAAGTTACTCCTGGCACCATAATTGACAGAGCTGCAGAAATATTGCATAGCGTTTAAGGGAAGTCCTTGATTTATTTTGTGCCTTAAAAAGGGAAAGTGCGCAATGCAGAGGTTAAAGTTGTAGTAAAAATGCAGTTTCCATGGTCTCAAAAAAAGAGACAGTATAAGACTTCTATATTGAGAAACAAAAAGTAACTAGTGAGAACAGAGAGATGTTGATTTGGAAAGAACTGAAGATACAAGCCACCCAGAGGACTCTTGCAGGAATGCCAGAGAAGTTCGAGAAGCTTCACCGTAGCTTAGCTCGTGATTCATTCCTGTGTCCATTTTTCTTCAGTATGTTAGCTCTTCTTTTTTTGCTATCCTGAAGATAACCAAAGAAGAACATCAGCAGCAGGTTGCAGGCAACGTGACTGCTTTTTAAGTTTTGTTCTTGTACTGCAGCTTTGCCAGCTGGGGGAAGCAGCAGCAGCTCCAGGACAACAAGGAACTGCAGCTGCCAGAGCTCTTCCCACAGCTGATGATTTAACCCGAAGAACTGTCTTCCATAGAGGCGGATTCTGGATGTTACCACTGCAAAGGCAGCTTACAACAGAATACCTTCACTGGGTAGTACAATCAGGGGCTTCATCTTTCTCTGAAGCTCCAAGCCACTGGCTAAGAGGTTCTTCTGTGGGCTCTGTTCCTGCAGGTGGCACATCTATAGGAAGACAAAATTACAGTAATGCTTTCCCAGTTTCACAATTAGAGACAGCCTGACTAGGGCAGCTGTTACTGCAGCTGGAAGCTGCCAGACTAGGAGATTCATGTCAAAGACTAAAATCGACCACTTCAAAGAAATTTAGAAAAAAAAAGTTAACCAGCAGTTAACTCTGAATAGATGACTGAGCAACCTGTGAGAATCAGTTTTGCCAGAAGCAGGTACTTAACTCAGGTAACGTCAGAAAGCAAAAGATGTTATAGCATCATTTGTCTGGTAGGAACAATACTCTGCCCAGTCACTTTGAAGTGATGATCATCAACACTCTCACTGCAACAGAAGAAATATGAAGTTTGCCTAATCTTCATGAATGTTTCAAGTATGTGGGTGCTGTACAGCACATATAATCTTTTTGGCACCAGCTGGTCAGCCCTTCCACCAAGGTATTAACAAGGCATTCAAGAACAGTTTCCGTGAGAGTTTTGGGACTGAATGCAGGAAGCACAGGACACCTACTTTTACTTGAAGACCCTCCTTATATTTTGCCTCTCCCAATCTTAATCAGACACCACATTACATACCTGTTAGCGTACCTAAATTGGAATTATCAAAGATTTGTTGGAGGCGACAGTTGCAGAGGCCTTGATGCATCTGGAGTCACCGTTTCCTGAGAAGGAGGCTCTTTGAAGGACGGAATTTGCTCTTTAAGGGAATCTGACACTTTCTTCCCTGGAGACCTTGGTGCTGTCTCTCGAGTAGTCTCTCTCGAAGATTTTTCTTTCAATTTTAGCGCTCTCTCTTTCCATTTTCTAAATTCGTCTTTCAATTGAGCCTCATTACTGAACAGGGGAAAAAAAATCACCAGCATTTAGTTACAGAAAGCATTAAACAACTCTTTTAAGTCAAGAAAAATGCCTGACAAGACAGTTCCTGCATGTTCCTGTATGACAATTCCCTTGACATACCACAGACATGGCAATGCAAGCCCCCTACCATGACCAAACGTGTATTCTTAGTTTTGGAGGCATCATTTTCTTTTTTGCTTCCCAAAAGCTAAAGAGATCCAAACAAAACGTGTTTTCCAGGTATTGATAAAAACATTTAAAATTCCATTCTCATGGAAAAAAAAGACAAACGATTTAAAGCTTCAAAGCCATCCAGAAGTATACATGCATACATCACCACCTTTAGAAGTTTAGATTTGCTAGACTCTTTCACATCTTCCAATTAAAAATTCTTCATTTCTACAGATGTCCAGGAAAGAAACTGTAACAGCATAGGTTAAAGAGAAATGACTTAGTTAACGTGGCGCTTATTATCTTTATGCTTACCTTAGTAGATCATCAATTTGTTTCTTCAGCTGCAAGTTCTCTTTCTGTAGCTTCGCTTGTTCAGATTTTAAAACAAGCACGTGTGTGCTCTGAACTATACCACTGCCACCACCACAAGTAAGGGGCTTTTGGTATTGCTGAGGAGTTTCTTTAGACACCACTAGAAAATAGTTTTATACAAAAGCACGTGTTACTTGGTCAGGGTTTAAAACCACGTCAATATTTATCTTAGCCATGCTTATGCAAAATTCCTTCCCATAGCCTTGTATGTAAAACCTCACTAGGTTCGAAGTATCATTACAACAGCTCTTTCTTAAACCCACCATCAGTAATCACACTGCCAGGGAGATATTAAGAAGTTTATGTGATTAGTTATATCCTGATTAGAGCTAGAGAACTAGAGATGGGAACGTAACCCACCACAACAGCAACCACAATCCAAGAAATAACAAACGAAACCAGACAAGAACTGCTGTGATTCTAATACAGCCTATGTGCAGCTACCGTGTTTCAGCCTTCCACCTCTTCCAAAGCATCCAACCCCTCTCATGGCCTTTTGAGGTAAAAGGCCTGCATCGAAGCCTAGAATTTAACCACACAACCTTAAAAACAGATGTTTAATATGAAACAATCCCTTCTATTGATCCGGAATTTACCAGTAACGTCTTGATCTTGCTGTGCTCTTCTGAGTTTCTTCTTTTAGCTTTCTTAACTGTTCTTCTTGGTGTTCTGCAACAGCTTTATAATTAGCAAGTCTGCATTGGTGGGCAGGGAGAGGGAAACAGAAAAAATTTAAGCTCAATTATTAAAGTTGCAAGAGACTTAGTTTGATTTTCATGTGTATTAACAAATACAAATGTATTTGAAGCAAAACAAAACAAACTACATCTGGCTGCCAGTTAGATTTCAGGTGAAGTACAGAAAAGCAAAAGGTTAAATGATTATTATTAAATTATTCTGTGTGCATCCTTTCTCTCCATTGGGGTGTGGGGGTAGGGGAAGAGCTACCAGTACAAACAAACCAAACAAACACTTGAACTTACTGCATATCAAAATCTTTGATTGCTTCATTCTGTCCATGTCATATCTTACCAACTGTGTTTTGAGATTATCAATTTCTTCTTTGTACAACTCGGCACCTTTATTTAATTTTTCCTGAAAATAAAACAAGACACCTACTATGAAGAAAGGATTGCTAAGGTAGCACCGAATACGGGGACTGCTTGCTTTGCACTTTTACTGCAATCTGCCAGAAGTTACAGGACAGAGCTGGAAGCAGGAAGTCATTCTGGGCTAAGAATGCCCAGATCACTAACCAGTACCATAGGACCAGTTGCCATCTGAACTCTGGTATAATGAACGCACTCCCATTTTCAGCAAGTTTTGCTGACTTGCTTGCAGATGTAATCTGGGAATCCTGAACTAGCATGCCAATAGATTATGCAGAAAAAAACAGCCCATGCTTCAGTTTCAAAACTTGAAGTTTAAGAACGTTTCAGCAATATATCAGAAGCAATAAAGTTTAGCTTCTAATACCCTAACATGGGTTCCTAAATTTGTCTCTGAAAGCAGCACTGGTAGCACGTGAAACAGCACGCTACAACACGTGAGCAGAGTGCTTTTCTCTAAGAAAACCACACGGAACTACAAATTGACTTTACAGCACTCTCTGCTTCCCTTGCTGTAAGAATGAAACTAGAAAATATTGGACTCCTACCTGGAGACTCCGATTTTCTGCTAGGACAGTGCTGAGGCATTTCTCTGTCTCATTCCAGTTTGGCTTCCAGCTGGGTGAGCTCACTCAGTAGCTGCTTTTACTCTCATCTGTGCTTGTAACTGATTATCCTGTCATCTTTTTCTCTGACATTTTTTTCCGCTTCCTTTACTATGTTTTTCCAACTTTTGGATTTCTACTTCCATAGCCTGTTGGGATATACCAACCACTTATGAGCAGTAACACCAAACCAAGAGTTATAACTATGTCGCTTGCACAGCACAGGGGGATATTCTTAATCAAAACAAACAAAACAACAACAAAACAGGAATTCCTATACAGTCTATAGCATTGTTCTGTTTCATCTGTTACTGTTCTGGGACATTCAACTCTAAAAAAACATGCTTTGAACACAAGTAACTGTGACATCAAAGTATGGACAGAGGGCAAATGAGTGCACCCCTACGAGTCATGACAGTTTTTATCCAGCTTCCAGTCTGACACAGAGACTGCTAAATAGTTAAACGAATATCACACTACTGGAACCTATACTTCAGGAAATGAACTGGGTGCGTTTACAGAGATTTATAAACTAACATCTGTGCGTGTGTGGTGCACAGAGAAACTGACCGTTAAATCACATCACAGGCAGAGCTCAAACTTCCACTTTTGGAAAAAAAGAAATCTACAAAAACAAGTCCATTGTGGGCCAGTGTATTGTGTGACAGATAACAGTCATCAATCTTCATTTTCTTTTCAGTGAAAGTACTCTCACTTAGAAAATAATCATAAAGTAGGTTTTCTTTAGAAAAATATTTGCACCTTTTTATCTTGTTCTGCAGCCTTTAAGCGGTTATGAAGTCTGTTGTTTTCTTCTTCTAGCAGAAGATGAGCAGAGCCACCAGGGGCCAGTTGTTCCTTAAGGGTGTTTAGTTCCTGAAGCAACTCTTCAGTTTTCTCTTTTGTCCGTTTATATTCAGCATCAGCATTTTTGCAGTAGTTGGAAGTTCTGTCATTCAACTCTGAATTCAGTGGAGAGAATGTCTGAAAAATCAGTAATGAGGAACAGATTAAATTTTGGAACCAGCTAGAAATAGTGAAAAATCAGGAAGTTTCTTAGCCTGTATTAATTTCACATTCCTGAACCTCCGTTGCACATTTGAAGACAGTTATTACCAAAATGGAATTACTGACACTCAAATGATCAGAGCGCTGGAGTACCTCTCCTATGAAGACGGGTTGAGAGACCTCAGGTTGTTTAGCAGCAGAAGAGAAGGCTGTTTTTGTTGTAAAAGCTTTGATTCACAGAACTGTCTATCAAAGAATTCTTCCTAAGAGCCTGTCAGCATTGGGAAATCCGGTAGAAGTCAAGGCTGACAAATAATTCTACAGAAGCAGCTTAACTCTTTGTCAATAGGCTGAGTGAAGCACAACATGTGCAGAAGGATGACGAGCTCTTCGTAATCTAGCCGAAAGAACAGCACGAACAGCCTAGTAACAAGCGTATGCTGGAAGTCAAGACGACTGCTATTAAGAACTAGTCAGAAGGTAGAGGAGTCCCTCCCACAGCCTGTCTTCCAAGAGGTCTCCGATGTGCTTATTAAAAGATGTCATCTCATGAAATGCTCTTCATGATTCACCTCAGACAGCAGAACAGACTTTTTCCCAGTTGTGGGTGGTAGGAGGAAGAAAGAAGAGGGAAAGCACAGCTGAAAGACCTCTAGGATAATTTAACTTTCTGAAGGTAGAAAAGGTGTGAGAATGTCAATTACAATTAAGCTTTATCAACAAACAAACAAACAACAAAAAACACTTCAGCCATTTTAAAGGTGGTTTGAAAAGAACAGAATCTTGTAGGCAGAAAGCCCGCAGAATGCGACTGCATCAGGCTGCCAAGTTCTACAAGGAAGGTTGTAGTAACAGTTAGGAACCTACAGTCTCTAAGATTCATTCTCTTTAAGAAAACCACACACACAAACACCACCACATACACACAGAAAGCTGTCTCCCCGAAAGTCTTTTTAAACACAAGTTTCCAAGTTTGAATGTAGGAGGAAGAAAGCCTGTAAAAATCTTCCAGGTATTCCTACATTTTACAGATAAATACGCCTATAGCCAGTGCTGTTGGATAAACTGAAAATAATTAAACGAGTAAACTTTAAACTAGCTTTTTGTGTCTGTTTTCAACCAGGTTACAGAGGTACTTGCAGAGTGCTTACACAAAACTTTTTTCTTATTCATTAAGTTCATTTACCTTCACTTTTGCAGTCCAGAACTTAATGACTTGTAAAAGCCTTTCATTGTCTTTTCTTAGCGCTTCTTTAAGTTCTTCTGCATCACAGTGGAGTCCTGAACAAGCTTTCCAGAACCGTGCTGTTTCTTTTCCAGCACTTTCTTCCTTCTGTAACTCTGCCTCTATGCTGAGAAGTTCACTTTCCATTTCTGCTATGTCTTTGATAATATTCTGTATAAAGAAGAGACCAAGTTTAAGCATTGCCTTGATAACTACACGTTTAATATAAATTTTGCCCCCTTAGGTATCCACACTTACAGTAAGTCTGTTTTTAACACCTAATTATAGCATATTTGCTAAGCTAAAGTGAGTTTTGCTGTACCTTACTGGGAAAATTAGAAAACAATCCACATTCCTGGGGATAGGTGGGAAGGTGAAAGGAGAAAAAGTTATCAAATTGCTTCAAAAATCATCTTAGGGTCAGGTAGTATGGATTCTTAAGGGCAAGTCAGTTAGAAACGCTTTATGAAACAGAGAAATCATTTGACGGAACTGGTAGCATTAAATATACGTGAATTCTGTGTTTCCCCTCACCGCATTGAGTTTAAACAGATAAAAACAATGCCCATCACGCTAGCACAACCACATTACGCCCTGTCTCAAAATAAACAAGCCTGTCTGAAAAGTTGTTTCAACCGCTACCTCTGCATCCAAATGCAAACTCTGCAGCACTTCGCCGATGTTTACCACTCGAGCAGGTATTTCCTTCTGGTTCAAATGAAACTCCTTGAGACACCGAATTTGAGCTTGCAGCTGATCTTGTTTTCTCTTTTCCTCAAGCAATTCCATTGCATACTTGTTCACAGTAGCATGATACTCCATTTTCTTGGAGCAAAGATGACGGAATTGGAACTGTCGTAGAAGCACAGGACATATCAGTGAGTAAGCTTCAGAACGCTACCTTGCACCCAGCTCAAATTCCAGATTTTATAATTCAGTCTATTTATTCTCCTAGCGAATAGATGTTTAGGACAACTGAAACATGACTACGAAAGCTACGTTCTCGTGTCCTATAGCAATGGCATGGGAGACTTTCAGCTGGGTCGGCATTTTCTTTTTTCAAGGAGTCCACAAAAATGAGCTTAAAAGGCTAAGACAGCCTTCTACGTATCTAGACTTTGGTTTTCAAAGTAGTTTTGTTATGCTGATTTCATCCTAGAGTTGTTAAAGGCATAGAGTATCACTGTGCTAATTTAAAGCCTTACTCTAGCCGAGTAAATCTAATCTTCAAGCCTAAACATCTCGAGCATAAAAGTTGAAAAACATCTCTTGAAATAATAAAAACATTAAATAGTCTACGTGAAGTTGGGAGATCACGTTCTTCAGAATATTTGTTAACATTTTTAGTTAATAGGTAATACTAAAATACAACTATTTGATATTTTTATTGCCAGAATTGTCACCCCATCATTGTTCCACACCCCCACCCTCCCAACCTAAACATTCACGGTAAATAAAGAAACTGAAACAAACAAAAAATACTATCTAGTTGGATGTGCTTCTGTTAATGCACACAAATTCTCTCTCAACCTCAATTTTTCCTGATAATTGGAATTTGTTTCTCCACTCAACTACAGATTGGGGAAGGTCTGCAAGACCATAGAAGTTAAACTGCTTGGCAACTTTTCAGAACAAACATGCTCCCCCAAGGCATCTTGCACATCCTTCCTCTCCGATGAAATATGTACTCAGGGGTCCATAATTTCATTTACAGACCACAGAGTACTTCTTTTCACACCAATGGAAGTGGATTAACACTAATGAAATGTTGCTGTGCAAAGCAGCTGAACTATAGTCAAAAATTAAGGTTAGCTTATCTAAATAGCTCCAGTTTTCCAGGATTGTAACGGGCTTCGTGAATGCATGACTTACAGAAAACAAAACCCAAAGCTTGAGCATATATACAGAGTCCTCGCTGTTAGTACTGAGAGCTTATTGGAAAAAGAAAGCGTGAAACAAAGCAACGTGAAGCATCCACATATTCAGCATTTTAAGTCGGTACCTTGAGTCTGTCCAATAAACGCTGGAAATGAGTGTTGATTTTCTCATTTTCCATTTGGAGTCTTTTGACTTGCTTATTTTGTTCTGGTGAAAGCTGAGTCAGTATCGCAGCTATCACTGCTTTCTGGCTATTCAGATCCTCCTCCTTACTACGAGACATCATGGTGAGACACTCATACCTCTTCTCCACACTTGGGAATAGCTCCAGAAGCTCCTAAATACAAATTAAGTAAATTCAGTCACAATAAAGAAAGAGAGTCATTAGCTACGACCAGCAGCTTTACATCAGATTCCAGGTTAACCCCTACAGAATGTTTTGGTTTTACAAAAAAGAAAAAAGCTAATAGGACTAGACCTTCAAGTTTTGACTTGCCACAGGAGCATGACAAAAGCACTAAAGCTGGGCCTGAAATGAAATTTGTTGCCTGTTCACAAGTTCGCCACCAGGACTGCCCTCAGAACGGGCTTTGAGTTGGTCTCCTGGGTCCTTTTGTGCAAGTCATGAGCAGGCCACGTAGGCCAAACTAGCTTCGAGGCACTCCTAGTGAACTGCAGCTCAGATGAGATACATGAAGCTAGATTACACTTTAAGGCACATGTAACAGCCTAAATTCATTGGCCAGGAGCACCTGCACCAGAAACAGACAAGAGCTCTCTCATTACAATACCTGTTTTTCCCCCCATCTTGTGCACTGAAGTAACGTGTGCTTTGTCAACATTAAAAGGAAAGAAAGCTTTTATACAGCAGCCCAGAATGTTTTCAATAGCCATGGGTGGCTAGGCTCAGAGTACCATCGCCATGACTTCTGTGGCGACAGTAACATTTTACAGAAGAAACTCCCCCAGGGTAGTTAAACTTCCTAGCATATATTCCCATAACCAAAGATTCCTTTTTTTTTTTTTTTGTACTGGTACCTGCACACACATCCACAAACACTAACAAGGTAGCGAGAGAGGCTGTGCTAACATAGGTTTAGCAGTGTAATTCAAGTTTTTTTCCCCCTCCCCTAAAGGAGTTTCAGACTCCTTGTTTCCACCTGTGAAAGAGGTAGGAGCTCTCTAGTGACCACTAGGAAAGCTCCCAGCTACAAGTCAGAAGGGGAGACTACAATTAAAAGGTTATCAGCAGGTTTTTTTGTTTTGTTTTTTTACTTCCCTCATTATTAGTTCATACTGCTGGTATAGCACAGAAACAGTGTGAATGGAGAAAGCTACGTGGCTGATTTCTCACTTTCGTTCCTTTCTTCATCACTCCTGGTGATGACTGAAGCAGCCCTCAGCGTGCTTCTGGCAGGTACAGAATGATGTCTGATCGTGCTGCACAGACGTGCAGACTGCAGTGAATACGATGGCAACCTCTGAAGTATTTCATACCTCCATAAAGCTGGTTTATTTAGGCTTTTGGTAGTTTAGTAGTGGCTCTTGCATTTGTGAGAAAACATACTCAGGACTGTTAATTAACAAAGAATTACAGGAACTTCTTACTTTGATGAGAGAAGCTATTTAGTGAAACCAATTTAATGGAAATCAATTTACTTTTGGGGGTGGGATGCACCGAAGAGAGAACTTGAGGGATTTTGAAAAACAAAACAGGGAAGCAGCTCCAAATAAAAATAGGTGATATAGGTGACTGGACAGTAAATCAAGCGAGATGTCTCAATTGAGAAGTTCAGTTTAACTTTCCCAGGACAGGCTGCACTGTCACCGAAGAGCAACCACAAACCAACCAATCCCGTGGTGTGTAGTATCTTAGCAAGAGATGCAATCCCATTAGCACATGATGCGTAGAAGCAAGGTTTATGCTCTGGAACAAGTGGTACTAAGTTTTAATGTGTACCCTTACATAAACAGGGTCGTTTACCTTGATTTGCATGGTTTTTGCCTTCAGGCTGTCATCATCCATCTGTTCTGCGTTATCCAGTGCATCCACTTGAACAGACACGTCGCTCAGGCTTCTCTCCTTCAGTTTACTTAGAGCACATTCCAGTTCAGCACTCGTTTCAATATACTAAAATAAATACATGCATATTTTAAGTACCATTCAAGAAGATAAATTATTCCTATCTTAGGTATGCAATTTGCAACACCAACCATCTCAGAGGTTTTTTGCAATTCCATGCTGAGCTGGTCCCGTTCAGACCTGATGTCCTGAAGAAGTTTTTGTAGCTCATCTTTTTCTTCAGTAGCGGATGACATTTGTTCTTTAAGCTGACAAGAATGACTAGTTCTCTCAGCCAATAGCCGTTCTTTTTCATTTGATACACTATCTAGCGTCTCAGTTAACTGCTGAATCTGTAGTGATGGAGAAAAACAAGAACTGGGTTTGTCCTCGTCTGTACACTTCACTGTCAAGTACTAAAATTAGTTGTGTCAAATACGATTTCCAGTAATTCTAGAATTCACATTAGCAGCAAGAGAAGTTTAAACATGAATTTCAGTTTTCTAATCACTCAAAAAATAAATAAGAGAAATAGCATTACATCCAGAGAGCTCTACTCTAGTCAACTCTGGTTTCCACTAAAGCAAGAGGAAAACATGTAACCTAAATGCATTTTGACTGTTTCAGGGAAATCGAAAAACTAGCAAGAGACAAAGACAATTCCACAGTCCATCTATCTGTTCTAATCATTTGATCAACAACACATACACTAGCTTGAAGCAATCCTTCGTTATACTGTTTGATCTACAAAGGAAGAGTTTGGCAGGTGAAAAGCAAAGAAATGAAAACCGCAGAAAGATCGAGCTGGGAAGAGCCAAGTGGCAGTATTTGCTGAATAAAAGCCAGTTTGAAAGCGTGCAAAGCACCAAGGATTCGAAACCCACTGAAGTTCAAACAGCCTATGTGGTGCCTTTTAAAGTCTCAACCAACACATACAGAGTCACCATCATATCAAACCTGGACAAGTTGGACAAATCTGTGTCCATTCCAGTGGAGCAGCCAACCCAGCTGGCTTTGAGGTTGACATGAGTCCAGGATGGCACTTCTAGATATTGCTAAATAAACATTTACAAATCCTCTCTCGTGTTCATGCTTATGTCACACAACAGTGATAGGCTGACAATTTAAAATTCAATTGGGCTTGTCTTGAGCAAAAACTTAGCTCATCAGGGATGAAACATCAGAAAACATAATTGTGGAGTAGCTAGCTAAAAACCAAAGCTCCTAAGCTCCTCACCTTACTTGTTAGGCTGTCCTGTACAATCTCTGACCTCCTCTGAACCTTCAACAGACGTTCCTCCCTTTCTTCAGCTTTGATCTTCTCATTGCTGAGGAGTTCTTGCTGCCGCTTCAATTCGTTTTCTGTTTCAACAAGCTGCAGTAAAAACAGAAAGAGATTTAACATATCAAAACTCAGATATTAGCTGAATCTACTTCTAACACAACAGACCATTCAATATTTCATACCAGTCAAAATACTTAACAGAAACACTTATGTTGCTTTAGTTTAAAAAGTTGCATATTTTGTCTTTGAACATTTCTAAATAAAACCTACCAACTTAGAATACTGACGATTTATCAGTATTCTGTGTCAAGTATACAAAGTATGCTACAAACACGCTTTGACTTATTTTCTGCAATCCCTGTTTCAGAGATGAGGAACACAAAGCAGAGATGTAACATGAGTGGGGTTCACGTTGAGAACCATCTAGAAAATAAATTCTAGACCTAACGTGGAACAACTTTCGGTCAGACAGTTGCCAAAAATGCTTTTAAATTACCTTTGATTATTTTCTTTCACTAGACTTCCAAATTTCAAATGAAGTTTAAGCTTTACAGCGAGGCAACAGATACACTAAAACAGATGAATTGGAAAATAGTGGTAGCACGCGTAAGAAGATTCTCTGCCTACCACAGATTTGAATCAACTACAGATCACCGAGGTGACTTCCCTCTCTGAACAAAGACTGCTGCTCGATGGACACCACCCAACCACTTCAATTGTCGTCTTCATCGTTACAAAGTCAGAGTGGCTGAGGGCAGAAGGGAACTCTAGAGATCATCTAGTCCAGCTCCCCTGCTCAGGCAGGGTTGCCTACAGCGTGTTGCAGAGGCCCTCATCCAGGCAGGTGTTGGATGTCTCCACAGGACACTCCGCAGCCAGCCTGGGCAACCTGTTCCAGGGCTCTGTTATGAAGCTACTCTTTATCCAGAAGCAAAACAGAGATACACAGAGAACTGGGCTGTTTCAGCGTCAGCTCTGGAACTCCAAAACGCACCACCAAATTCACATAAATGCCCATTAAGCATTTGGGTAGTTGCATCCATGTTTTCTGGTTCTTCATTCCTTCCCAAATAAAGAAGTCTCAGATTTTTTGAAAGAATACATCTTCACACAGATGCTTAATGCAATTCCCCAAGACAGAAATCAAAGCACACCGGTATCTGCAATTTGTACATATAACACTAATACTGGCAAGACAGCTGTTTTGAAAAACAGCTTCGAGATTCAGCCAGCCTTCTCTCCTAAACATTTATCGTTGTTCTACTTTAATCAAAAGATAAAGCACCTTATCAACACTCTTCTGTAGGTTAACCTCCAGTTTGTTCTTCTCTGCTTGGACAGCTTCCAGCAGTTCCTCAAACTCATCTCTCTCCCATGCTAACACAGCACATCTTTTCTCTAGTTGTTGAAGTTCATTGTCTTTGTTTTCACTTTCAGTCTTCTCTTTTAGTTCTCCCAGCAGCTGTTGCCTTTCCTTAGTTACCAAATTCAAGTCCTCACTCAACGCGTTTATCTACAAAAGTAGAAAAAACAATACAAAATCAACACGTGCTATTTATCAACAGGATGTCACAGTCTACTAGCAGAAACTCACCTAGCAGACCTGCAAAACAGTACAAATTAAAATAGGTCGGTAGCTGTTATTCCCGTTAGTCCTTCAGGGGACATTCTCTAAAGCAGCTTTAAGAGTTGCTTTTGTTAGTGTACTTGCCTTCTCTTTCAGTCTGTTTATTTCTTCAGTTAGTTTTTCTTCAGTCTTTTGCTGTTTCTCTTCTCCTTCTGCTATCAAGTTCTTCTGAATAGCAGCTTGCTCTTTATGATGCTTTAGTTCTTCCTGCAGACTTTCCATTTCTGTCAGAACTTCTGACAACTGCAGAACAAAGCGTGACATGGCTGATCACCCAGCATGTCTTCCTTAAATTTTACTTACAATTCTTAACTGTTACCAGTTAAGGGAATGTTTTGTCAAGTTGTGCTGTAGCAAGATCTACAGCTCTGAAGATTTCATCTTAGTTAACTGATTTTAGGTTTTGGAACAGTTAGGATCTCTGGTCTCTTCAGTATGGATAGACTATCTGAAGTTTGCTCAAATTCATGAGAGCTTTTAATTCTTATGAAAGGCTCTGCAAGTCTCTTAGGAAAGATTTACCAGACTTCCTTTTACCTACTTACTAGCTCCATTTTTGTTGGCCGCACCTCAGGTTAAGTTTGTCTGAAATACTGTCAACACAAACACATTTTCAGGCAAATACTTGGAACCTTGAAGTGCGACTCTGCCCCAAGAACAAGACATCAGGAAGGAGAAATACATTAGATCATTTCTTTTCCAGGTTTAGATTTCTCTTGTTCAATTTATCCTGGACTGAAATGGTAGGAGACTTCAGCCCTTTGATTTCTGTCAACTCGTATTACCTTCACTGCTCGGTGCTAAACGCAAAGCTACCGGAGATGAAAAAATGTCACGGAAACTTGGGCAGTGTCTGTCCATCAGGCAGCAAACAACTGTTGCTAAACCCAGAGTGGCACAGTGACCAAAGGGGTGGTGAAATAAAATTAAGAAACAAGTTCCAAGATCCAGATTGGATGAGTAACCTACATTTAGTTTACTGCTTCTGAGAACAAATGAAGAAAGGAAGAGACACTGAACAGGCTTCATGACTCAAGGAATATAGTAGCATAACGTGTCTTTCAAACAAAGATTAAGAGATTTAAATACATACTCTCTTCTTGCTTTCCTGACAGTTAGCCTCTAACTGCTCTCTCTCTGCTTTAGAGACCTCTACCATTTGCTGCAGTTCTTCTTTCTCCTGATTAAGTACAGCAACTTTCTCAGGCTCCGGACAGACGTGCTCCTTCATTCTTCTTTCAGCCTGTTCTTTTTCTGCAAGTAGCGTGTCATACTCAGAAGAGACACGAGTCAGGTTTTCAGTTACTTCAGCCAGCTGAAAGAACAAATATCTCTTATTAATACTGCTGGTCATTTCCAGCACAGGTGGAAAGCATTTGTTAGTTTGGAAAAAACGTTACCATGCTATTTTTTCGTGTCCCAGTAAGCAGGCTGATATAAGAAAAGTGCTACTGGATCACTTTTCACAAGCATTATCTATCTACACGCGTTCTTATAACGGGATCATTTTACAGAAGACATGCCCATTAGTTTACTCAGGTAGAAAGCAAAGGATGAAAACAATTTTGCTTAAAAGTTAGAAGCACTGAAGTTTGATTATCTCACTGGCAGAAGTGTGTCAAAATTTACAATCCACTATCATTCTACAAAAACAACTCCATTACTGTATCTGCAGCAGACAGGCTTGATTCTAACAAGCATTCATGTGTTTTTTTTTAAAGGCCCAGTAGCTTCAGATATGAAAGCAAGTAGACACTAAGTTTATACACAGCTTGTTCTGCAACTTGCTGCACTGAACTGCCATTTAGTTGCTTAAGTATCTGCAGAGTCACATAGCTGAAAGACAGCATGCTATTAGAGAAACGTTAAAAAAATTAAGACTTAAAATAAATTGAAGTCAAATAGCAGCATTGATGTCTAACGTGCTACCCTTCAGTACTAATGCATGTTTTGTTATAAAGGGTTGTAGCTTACAGGTCAAATTGCAATTCGGTCATCTTTTCACTGCCTCTATTTTTACGGCTTTCTTTTGAAAAGCAATACAGGAAAAAAAAGGAAAAGCTTTTAATTAAGTTTTATGACTACATTTATTGAACCCTTTCGACCTGAAGTCTGCAGAGGCCATGGGCTGCCCAACCTTGATAGAAATCTGATTTCATTTGCGGAACTACATCTGACCTTCTGCTTCAGCTCAGTTGTTTCCTTCAACGCCTCTTGCACTTTCAGGAGTTGACCTTCTTTCTCTGAACTACTTTCTTAAATACAAAAAAAATTGATTCCTCCTTCTACAGCATTTCTAGTATTAAACTGCTGTAATTAAAATAGGAAAAAAATACGGAACGACCTTTGGCCTTTCTGTCACCTGTTTTAAACTTTAACTTTTTAAGCACTCTCTTCTGCAACTAGCCACATTTTATTTAGAAAATGTCTGGGAGGAAGAAGCCAAATAAGAGGGGATCGCTTCACTTATTTTTATGCATACACTCAAAAAAAAAAAAATGGCAGTGCAAATACTGAATTAATGACCGCTGACTTACTGGGTTTGGCAGCTGATATACTTACTTCAGGCTAAAGGCCAGTCTCATGTATTACAGGTTGTCCTGCCAAAGCAATTGCCACTGAAGCAACTGCACAAGAAAATATTCTCAGCACCCTTCCTTGCAAGTTGTTGTACCCAAGCATGAAGACATGGGATCAGCTTTCTGCTCTGTGTTTGGAGCTCAGCTGCCATTTACAACCACTTGCTAGACTTCTTACTGGGACCCGAGTGTTACAAACCATAAAGCTTATGGCAACTCGTCTCTTCTTCCGTTTGTCATCTAATGCCACCACTCAGGTCGGCAGCTCTGGAACACACTAGTTAAGCACAGATTTATGAGCGTACATCAGCAGATGCTGATCTCTCTGTAGAGCATCAAGCTGCGAAGGCTTGGATCAGACAGTACACCTTTGTCACACGCTTTCTGCCAAAGGAGTAGAAATTTAAGGGCAAGCAGAAGAGACTGCAGGGCCGTTAACCAGGCTTATTTTCACACTTGTTAAAAGCATTTTCCAATATAAGTTTTGAATGATGATATATCATCTCACCTGTCTTTCAAGGTCACTGATGGTTTTCCTTAGTGTCTCCTCAACACTCAGCATCTGAGACTCTTTTTCAGAAAGACTTTTCTCCAATTTCTTAACAGTTTCCTGGGACTGCTTCAAAGAACTCTGTGCATTTCTCAGTTCTTCGTGCGCTAAAATGTTCTTTAGAATAAAAGGAAGAAAATCCACAAGAGAGAAGCTTGAGGTATTTTGCCACATTACTAAGTACTCTTTGAATAAAAACAAAAAGCTCCACAAAAAACTCCACTCTCCTAACCCCCTATGTAGTTCAATATTGTTCATAACCGTTCTTATATTCTTTCCCCTTAACATGTACGGTCCACTTCAATAAAGGCAGAATTCCTACCATTGAAACAGTGTCCTTGATATCTTCACTGAGCTGGTCTTTCTCAGCTTGGAGAGTCTCCTCTCTTTGTTTCAGGTCATCTCTTTCCTGAGTGAGAGTTTTTATTTCTTCCCGACATCCACTAAGCTGTTGAAGAACTGCCTGTAACTCTGAATCCTTGGCCTCCAATCTCGATTCCATAATCTTCTCTTGCTCTTTCAATTGTTCCATTTCATTTAGCTTCTGCTGAGTCTGAATAAGATCCTCTCTTACACCAAGAAGATGCTCCTGCTCTGCTGTCTTTTTTTCCAACTCTTTCATTTTGTTAGAGAGCTTTGGTTTGTAAAGGGAAACACCCGACACTTTCATTGTCACGCGAAACAGCATGTTACATACATGTTTTCACAGACTCACATTAGCTTAGAAATGATAGCGTCCTCTCACTCTTCAGCAAAAGAACAGAAGTTTCACTGTTTCACTTTAAGCCTCCACTTCCCTTCTGGCCCACATTAAATAGGCATCTGTTTCTGGAAACCTTCTGATGGTTTCTCCCTAGCAGGAAAAGCCTTGCTAAAACACAACACACACGACACTGTAGCCTAGCTTAGGAAGCAATCAAATCTGTAGCCGATTATGACAGCCAGAGCACTACCAAAAGGCTTGTCAGAAATACACGCAGCTTTAGTTTCCTTTTCTTCTAAAGGATGTTCCTCCCCCCCACCTTTATATTTCCCAATTAATGCAGTGGTTTTCTCTGGTTTGAAAGATCTGCCCTTTTCTTTCTTTTAAAGCAGAATCCTAAACGGTTCCCTGAGGAGAAAGCTTTGTTTCTACGATTTCAGAGAGTCGTAGCTAGATATTTGAAATATATTTTCATAATAAATAACATTTGAATAATAAACTTAAATACGATTTGCCCTATAAGTAAACTTAAGAATGGGAAAAGAAGAATTAGAACTAGAGAACAGAAGAACACAGCGTGCTGTAAACTACATGTTTCTTTCCCCATGAAGGGCCATTTTGATGCATAAGCCTATGACTGCACATCTGGCAAAGAGCAAGTAATATCCACTAACGCTACAAGAATTTCAGCTGCAATGTTATTTATACATTCAAGATCACGTCTCCAAGTGATTTTAATACTGCGGAAGAATTCTTTGTATCTTACATGTCTAAAGGATCAAGATGACACTGACCTCCAATTTCACATCGTCCAAGGCTGTTTCAGACTCTTCTGCTTCTTTAGATAGACGTTCTATTTGGAGTTTCATTTGTTCGCTGTTCTCTGACGCAGCCACGTATTTTAGTTCTAGTTCTTCATGCAGCTGCTTAAGTGCTACATATTCCTGATCGGAGTTCTCATACTTAAGCTGTACATCTGCTAGATCTTCTTTCAGTTTCCCAATTTCTTCAGTCATATACTTCAGTTTAACTTCATTATCAGCTGCCTCAGAGAGCAGCTTTTCTCTTTCCAGTTCTAGTAAGCGTAGCTCCTCACATTTTTCGAGAGTCTACGAACAAAAGAAAACATCAACAGCATTTTCTAAGTCAGTATTTGTCACAACTATATAATGAAAAAAAACAAAACGTGTCCATATGCAGGCTTTGGAAACAAACATAGGCAAAACACAGAGCACAGTATGGTGCTAGACTTCGGACTCTCCCCCAACAAAATAAAACCCAAACAAATCTTTGAACAACAGGGATGATGGTAAGCCCCACTGGGTTCAAAAAGACAAACTAATTGTTTTTTTTAGACATTTAAAATTTTGTTTAATACATCTGAGCTAAGAATGGATTAATACTCCTAGCTATAGCAAGGCAAATAAGCAAGCTTTGTACTAGAAATTTACATTAGTTATTAGAAATTGACATTAATTAGTTCTAGCAGACTTTATGACTCAGCATGTGATCTTTGATTTTTTCTTGAATGCAAGTATCAGATACCTGAGGGAAAGCACCTTAATGGCTTTTTTTTTTTTTTTTGAAGAATGTCATGTTATTTGATTCAAGACTACTTTTGTCTTTAAGAGGCCTATTAGATTCTAATGTGTGATACTCTAATGTGTAACTCGGGAAGCACAATATAAAGAACACAATATATGTTCTATAATGAGAATATAAGGAAGCCCAGCTCCAGAAAAAATTGATTTTTTCCAGAATTTTTTTTGTTTATCTCTCTCTGCTGCATCTCAACACTATTTGGTAGAGACTGAAATTCTGGTAGCTCATTTACTTGTTTTTGTAGGAGTGCATTCTCTTCCAACGCTTTTTCTAGCTCCGCTTTTATATCAGATGCCTTTTTTTCCAGCTCCACAACAGAAAGCAAATCTAGAAAAATGAACACATTTAGGTTAGAAAGTGTGAGGGTAGAAAAGCAGGTTTTAAATTAAGCAGAAGAGGCGTAATGCACTCTGAATGTCATAGACATTAAAGTCTAGAAAACATTAGAGCCAAAATCTTCCCTACCACCCACCTCAGTGGGGAAATGGAGAAGGGGCAAGGGATGGGAAGAGAGCACCAACTCCAACTGAACAGTACCTTTTGGAACTTTACCCTCCATCAGTGAAGTTAATCTTGTGTTTTCTTGAAATACAGACTGCAATTCTTTCTGCAAGTCAGCTTCCATCTTTTTGTAGCTGGCTTTTCCTGCTTCTATTTGACTTTGATAGAGTTGCACATCCTTTTGCATTTGCTTGTAATTACTTAAGAGTTCATTCTTCAGGAAGACAAAACAACATGCAGTTCACACACAAAATCCAAGCCTACTTGCTTAACAGTTGAACACTGCATCCCATCGCATTTCCTGTTGTTGCCCTCAACAACTTTGATCATGATCAATACAACACAAGTCGTGGTTAAAGAGCTTAATTCCTGTTAGAGTGCTAACCAAAATGTACCTTACATTAGAGGTTGAACCATAACCGCTTTCCCCATTTCATTTTTACTCCATCAAAGCTCAAAAGCATGGTCCACCCCTCTTTCCTGCATTCATCTTACTGTTTTATTCCCTGGGAAAAATCAGACTTGGAGTCTTCTGTCCCAGGAACTCCCCAAACACTACTGCTTTATTCTCTCCATACTGATAGACTGCATGCTTACTCCTGCACAACAAGCCTCTAGTATCTTTTCATCTTTCTCCTAAGACCTGTTTTCCACGAGTTCCAGAGTGAAAACATCACTTGGAGCACGAGTCACTAGCCAAATCTTGTATTTACTGACTGTAAGACAACAGTACCTCAACCGTATTTGGTACGGCAACAAAAGTGGTTTAACAAATACTTGCCATTTTCTCCTTCAGCTCCAGATTCTCAGTTCTGAGAAAAGACGACTCTTTTTTGGCATCCAAGGCTATAGCTTCACTATCTAAGAGGGATTTGGTCAACTGTTGAACTTCCTCAAGTAGTTTACCAAAATCTCTCTGAAAGAGACGAAAAATAATAAAAAAAGCTAAAACAGGCCATAACAAAGCAAACTTGATCATTATAATACAGTTAAAGTACAGAAGAGACTTCGCAAACATGGTTCATTATCTGAGCTCTGTCCTACTGTTCCTTTTAGATGAAGTGCAACCTTTCCCATAGCTTTACTTCACCAGAGCGTTGCTGTATAAAATAAGCTTCTTGCAGGAGAACTGTTGATGTAGTCAATCAGTGTTTTAAGCTCCAAAAAATAGCTCATTCGCTTGACAGCAGATTTCAACCAAACTAAAGCTATAATTATATTTAACCCATACCCAACAAAGTAACATCCAACATAGCCTCGCAACCCCAGAAGAAAACTCACATTTACAGCTGAAACACATGCGTCCTTTTTTTCCACTCCTGCTTTCTGCAATTCTTCCACACGATTCTGTAATGTCTTTATTTTGTTCTCTTTCTCTTTCAGCTGTTCCAATTTGGAGCTTATTTCTGCCTAAAAGTTACAGGAGAAAAGGGGAAAAAAAAACACAAGGGAAAACCTAGCTCCATTTTTTTTTCTTCAGGTAGAAATCTAACAGAAAATTTAGTAACGCTTATTATGTAAGATTGAGTTTATAAATATCCCCTTTACAGCTGGTAAGACTAACCAGAGCCCTGTAAGTCTAGACTGTCCATAGTAGATAAGAGTATAACCAACACAAACCAAACAACATTCCATAGAAGCCTTACTGCATGCAAGCTTGAGACAGACTCACCTCAAGTTCTACATTGTGCGCTTCCACATTTGAAACTACATTCTTTAGGCTGGTAACTTCATGCATTAGTTCTGTCTGTGGAGCAAATTGAAGCAAAATTGCAGAGGAGGTTAGAAAGCAACCACAACCAATGGTATTAGCTGCCACCGCCATGAAAATAAGCAAGGTCTACCTTATGTTTTCTTTTCTGTTAGTTAGCAAACCATATACATGAATATGTATTTAAACAGGTACAAAGCAAGCTGCTACACCCTTTCAAACTGATAGATAAGATGCAAAGCTCCATTTCCACTTCCCAGCAAATTGAAAGATTTCAAGTCCAACTTAATTTTACACAGCTCGAGAAGTGAAAGCAATGTGATCAAAGCCATTTCATGCACAAATCTATAAGGTATGAAACTTCAGATTGGTCACGTTAAGCAGCTTTTTACAACACAGCGCAGCTATCTAATGCAATCTATTCAGTGACAAGAATTAGGAAGTGTCAGAGCTGAGGTGAAGCAAGCAAGCCATAAACACGTTCAAGCTGCATCCTCTGAAAGGAGGCACAAGCAGAAGACTACAGAGAAAAGCTACAAGCATCAGGAGGAGGAAACCTAACCTGTAATTTTCAGGTCAGAGGAGAGCTGTAGAAATAGTATCAAACCACCTGTTAAAAGTCACTTCCTGTCATTATTCACAGTAGAGTTTACCCTTGTGTGTCTGCTGGCTGAAATTGATGATTTCAGCCAAATCTGCTCAGCAAAGTAGGTGACCTGTCACTTATGCTGTAATTACTTTGCTACACAGGTGTCAAATGCTTCCATTTTAGGGAGTATCTTCAGATATGGATCTGAAGGTAGGATTTATTCAAAAAGCAGTTCTTGCAACTTAAGGTACTTTAGACTACTTGTCAGTAGACACACAGGTTTCTCAGGGACAATTCTAACACGATTTGTTCAATGTTGGCTTCAGAATATACCTATACATTTTTGTGGGGAACACAACTAATAGGTGAGGCTGTTAAATTGTAACCTGAAACAGGGCGAAAGGATGCAACTTCAGTTCAACCTTAGCATCATGGTAAGAGGATATGAAACAGCCTAGGGCGTACAACCAGTCTGCAGCCAACACAGCAAAGAATCAGCTCCTTCTGGGAAAGGTATGAGGTAAGATGTTGCAGGAAGAACGGCCGAAGACATGACAGACACCAGTAGGGTCAGATCATGCTCCATTTTATTACCCGAATAGCCTGACTTTTCTAGTGAACTTAAACAGGAGGATAGTGTCTCACACAAGATTATTGGTCAAAAGCACTCAGACAAACAACTACAAGAAAACAACCCCACCTGCAAGAAAACAACCCCCTTGTGATTAGCAGTCACGTAGACCTTGTCCCTGAAGCCAGCTACTGGCAACAATATTTTTCTGAATTCCTCAATTGGGCAGTGTGGGAACACTGTCATGGGGACTTGGTTTGCTCAGCTGTGGCAAGCCGTGGGATCTTTGCTGTTTCAAAAATCCCTCAACAGTAAGAAATGGAATAAAGTACACCCGTGTCTCAATACCTCAAATGTCTCTTTTCCTTCTGTAACTTATTTGACAGACTAGCCCTTGGGCAACCAGAACGTAATGCCTAAATAGAAGTACGTATTACTTGTAACAGAATTAGAGCATAGAAAGAAAACAGACATTTGGACAAAAAAAGATATGGCCACAAAAAGCACGAGGAGGCGAAAGGAACTGGAAGTCTGCATGTCCTGTATCATATTATCCACTAGGCAGAATGTTCTGACTTTGTGGCACAAAACAGCTTTTATTTTTTCCTTTTACAGACATCACCATTCGCGTTATGACCGAGTTAAACAATGTTTCAAGATAATGCTGACATCGCTCTGATCTTTGTAACTCACTGAACTGTCCTATACAAGAAACGAGTATGCTTATTAAGCCACACTTCACTAACTTCAAAATACTCTATAGCCTATTTAGTAATAGCGCGTTTATTACACATTGGAAAGGGAGAACCTCTTGCAGAAATCTAGACCATTCATGTATTACACATACATGCGCACAAAAAATATAGTGTGGATACACACAAATATATACATGTGTTTAACTAGACTTCCTCTAGTTAAAATTCAAAAATGAAATAAGAACTTAAATAACATTCACAGTTTAAATATGAGTTTTACACTAAGTGCATTTCAAATCCTGGATTCTTTCGTTCTGCTGTTGAGCGCAACTTAGCACCACCTGTGATAAACATCCAAGTAGATGTATACTGACTTAACTCTTCAAAAAAAATTGAGTATACAGAATTCTTATCTATCTGTATTTCAGTGCACCTTACCTCATGCTCTTTTTGTGTTTGCTTTTCCAGCATTTCAAATTCTTCTGTTTCTCTCTTTTCCTTCAGTTTCGCCTTCATTTCATTTACTTCTAATTTCAGCTGTTCATTTTCTAATACGACTTTATTCAAGTTAGCTTTTAGGACATTGACTTCACTGACAGCAAGGTCCTAAAAAAAGGATAACAAACTTTAGGAGAGGTTATTGGGATTTCGGTCTTATTTTTAAGACACTAATGGACAGGCTTACCTTTTCTAGCGTTGAAACTTCACAGCGTTGTATAGATTCTTCAAAGTCTTTCAGAGTCTAGAAAGAGAATCACTTCTAGTTAGCTGATGTACAAGCCGAAGCAAGTTTATTATATTCCTTGTTGCTTGTCTTTTCACTGCTAGTCCTGTTTAAATACCAAAGCTCACTAGTCCATTCTCCACAAAAACATCCCACAACTTCAAACAGATGACAGACTTGCTTTCTAACTAGTTAGTTGCAAAAAAGATTGTCGATGCCCTAAAGAAGGGTAAGGCTGACCTTACTGAGAAGCATGGAACGTGTATACACCATGCAAGGCCAACTGAAGAGATTATGAAGTTACCCAGTTCATGTCAGGTCCAGGAGTCCACTCTGTATCCGAAATTTGATCGGGAAGAGTTAAACGTTGGTTGTCATTTTCAGAACTCTCAGAAAATGTAGCTGAAAAGGAAGATGTACTCTCACTCTATTTCTAATGCATTTTAAACTAGACATCAAGAGTTCTGTCAAAGATTTCACCACACCAGAAATAATCATTCAATAGCAATGATGTAGCACAGTGAGTAACGTTTCTGAATCTATAAATTTAGATTTATAAGCAAGGGATTATTCCTCATTTTCAGGTCTTCATTTCAAAGCTGCCTTGCAGAATTTTATTGTTCTCCTTCCGCCCCACAAAGATACTTACAACCCTTTCCACCCCACAAAGATACTTACAACCCTCTCCACCTGGTAGTAAAGACAGGGACGCTTTCATTTTTTTTGTTTCAGTCAATTCCGTTTTTTCAAAGTCTTCAAAATAATTCACATTCTTCTGGGTTATTTTACCAGGAGCCCATGTAACTCTTCTTCTTCTCTTGGCCTTAAAAAAAATATATTTATTTTACGATTTTATTCATAGAAAATGGTGATCTAAGCACTACGTAGAGAGTAGATGTAGCAGTAACTTATGCAACAGCAGTCCTGCAGGCTATCCTACAGTACCTTCTGCTTTGCAGTTTCTTCAAAACTGAACTACAGCACGATTATTTGTAAGCAAAAGTCTTGTTCAAAATTGAATGAATGCTTACTCACAAGTTATTTAAGAGGTTATTCCTTAAAAGTGTGAAAATTGAGCACAAACACTTACAATTGGTCTGGGCATATTGAAAGTGAAGTCTCAGGACTGCATAACTCAAACTTATTCTTCATTTTCACGATGACTCTATGTAAGATCTGTAACTCTAAACAAGATCTGTAACAGCTGCTCTTACTTTAATATCCTGTTTTGCTGAAAACGAGGCAGAAGTCACCAGCATTTCAGTTAAATTTCGTATCCTATCCTCCTGCGCTTTCTGAAGAGAATTTTTTTCTTCCAGCAACTGGGCCAATTGATCTTTTTCCACCGCGTGAAGTTGAGTCTTCAGAGACACCTTCCATAAAAAGATCAATCATATCGACATGGTACAAGAGATAAGGTATTATTAGTAATTAAAAATGACACCACGTACATATATTCTTCTAAGTCTGGAAGAGCTGTCTCTAGTCTTTAAGAAAGCAACTGACAATTCAGTCCACAATTTACCCATGGACTTAGTATTTCAAGTCTGTATATGCAAGTATTTAGAAAAGCAAAACAATATAGCTACAGACTTCTCTAGGAATTTAAAAAATAGAGATAGAGAAAGCATGCTTTCAAATATAACAGTTTAAGCTCACCTCTCTACAGGGCCTGAAGCTCTTTCATAGCTATGATTTAATTGTCACATAACAATATGCTTCTCTAATGCAAGCAATGTCTCAAAATTTTGGGCACTGATAATTTATTCTGTTGTAAAGCAACTGCATTGCAGTAACTAGTTATTTGACAGCTTAGTTATCTTGCGATAATTAAGTATTTAGAGATGAATACACGCAATTTTCTAATAACCTCTTCTGTACTTAACAGAAGTACTTTCCTGACTACGTCATGTTATAACAGAACAAGCATACCACTAGGTGGAAATCTATACTTCAAATTAATTTTTTTAAGCCAAATCTTTCCTTAACCTTTTTCTATAACTCTTCCTGCCCCCCCCCCCAAAAAAATATTGCTTTGATTTAAATCATCGAAAGATGCATCATGTCTAAGTTGCGATTTTCCCATGCTTCACATATTATGATGCATTCTCTTACAACACCTGCAGGATTCTCATCAACACTGTATTGGCTATTTTTTTTTTGTTGTTTGTTTGTTTTGAGCAAGATGAATGAGACTACACTGTATGGTGGGAAGTCTCAAGTCATCCACTTTTAAAACATATCTTCAACATACACACGACAGACTTTGCCACTGATCTTACACAGCTGCAGCTTAGGCTGAACATCTGTTAGGAAGGAGGAAATAATCCATTTGGAACCTTCAATTATAATACAGGAGGTTATTGAGCGTCAGTTAATTATTGCTTTCATTTGTAGCACTATCGAAGTGTACTATGAGGCACGATAAGTTTCTTAAACTCTCTCACCTACAAAAACATTCGTCAGTCAGTTGGCCTCGCTTAGCGCTAGCTTTCACCCAGATACACTGGTCATTATCAATTGCTTTACGTTTCGCTTTGTTTTCAATTTTTATTCTCTGAATATAAGCAACAATTACCGGCTTAAAGGGTTTCCCCACCCCTCCAGATTTAACTGGTCTTGGTTTAAAACAGTTTCCAAATAGCTACCACTGTAAATATACAAAAGTACGCGTGCGTGTATACACACACACACGCAATACATATGCACACAGGCATATATAAACTATAAATTTTACTGTATTTATTACATACTTCCTCCAGCTGCTTTTTCAAATCCAGAATTTCTTTGCGATATCTCTTCAGGAGGGCATCATCATTAAGAACTTCATTGACTTTTGGCGTATTCTTCATTCCTTTGGCTGTATTGGCAAACTGGAAGAGCAACCATCATCTCTCATGGACAACGGTTAAAGAACAAATGCATCAAGAGACGTATTTTCTCTCTTATTTCCCAACAGAGATAAGGGAACAGCTGAATGACAGAGAAGTGTGCTTAAGCAAAACCACACCTAATTATTTTTCAATATAAAGATCTAGAGAGCACCAAAAGGAAGACAATCCTGCCTAAAGCTCATCACTAGTTCATTTACCCTCTCTTCTTGGAGAAGCTGGCTAAAACGTTGTCAAACTGCCAAAAAGCTCTAGCTAGCCAAGCTAGTACAACAATGTGACTGAGAGAACACGCAGAGAACAAAATAAACACATTTCATGTCCCAAGTGCAGAGGACCTTCAGAAGGTTCCAGTGACTAAAGACCCCTGCCCGTCACATTTTTCCCCCCACCCCAAGCCATCAATATTAAAGTCTAGAGTCAGAATGATGCTTGACAACAGGCAAGAAGGTTTACCTGAAGAGTACTGAGTGTTTCATCAAAAGAAACAGGAGTGATTGTACAAATAATAACCGTCTTAGCATTTCCTCCAAGAGAGTTCTGTAGAATTCGAGTCAGCTTGCTGTCACGGTAATTTATGAAACTGAGGGGAAAGTAAGAAAACAGATTTAAAAAGTCATTTTTCTATGAAAAACGGTATTGTCTTAAGGTGACAGAACATTTAGGAGAGCTATATAGAATACTATTTGATGTCTAAAGAGATTTAACTTCTTAATTTATCAGTGACTTGTCCAAAAAGAGGTATGTCAACACAAGCACTTACCCAGAAGGGTCGTCACAAAGCTTTTTGATAACTTGGCCCAGAATGAACAAACTCCGATTTATATTGCAGCCTTCTTTCAGTCGGAGACCTAGGTATTACACAGTATTTTCTTTCTTGAAGATCTATCTAAATGTTGTTTTATTCAACATGTCAAGGTGTTGTGTTATGTTATGCTCAGAGGGATTGTCCAGAGTTACATCTCCAGTACCAAAATGCACTGTGACACATCAGCACCCAGTAACAAGTCTTTTAGAATAACCCAAATGAATCAAAGTCTATCAGTCTATCACAAATGAGCATTAATAATCTTCACTTAGTAGGTAGTCAGGGCCAGAGGAACGTGAATTTCGTTAACAAAGTTTATTTTGTATTTAGACGTGCAATTAAAATTGGCACTTGCAGGAAAAAAAAAAAAAAAAAAAGAAAGAAAGAAAAAAATAGAATCTAACTGTACCAAACCAGCCTTAGATTCAACTTTCAGGGTAGTCACACCTTTTAAGAGAGGATATTCACGTGTTATTCTCAGATTATGATTCTTTTTTTTTAATAATGGCATTTTTGTTCTTCATGCTGTCTTTTTAACTAAGCCTGATTGTTAACACAGTGAGCTATCTACTTACTCTTCAGCTTTATATATTTATTAACAGTCCGTACGAGCTTCTAATGATTTCTTTACTACAGATTATTCATCTTCATTATATTAGTACAGCCTACAACTTTTGCTGGACCTGCCGTTCCAGAAAAGCCATGTCACTACACAATTGTCTGCACTTTACAACTTTTGCTATTTTCCTGAGCAGATCCTCACCTGTCAAGTGGAAAATACATTACTTAGAAATAACAACATCACATGGATAGGAGCTTCCTTTCCATCACAGCCTCTCATTAAACCTTAATTAACAGAAACTGTCATAAGGAGAACTTCATTCAACACTCACCTTCAGATCCTGTTTGACTAGCTCTTTCACTGCCTGCCAGATCTACCAAGTTCTGCAACATTAAACGTTTCACTGATTAGTTCTGGGGGTAATTTAATTTCAGATCCTCTTAATTCTAAATCCGTGCTAAGAATTTCATAAAATATAGCTATGCTTTGGAAAGAAATAGGAAAAAAAAAAACAAACAATTGCTCTCTCATTACTGGAAGTGATACGCAACTCCACAACATTTCAAAAAAATAATTTCAAAGTGCCTAAGGATATCAAATAAGATCATAGGAACTCTATTAAGAGAAATTCTATATAGGAATTCTGTTCTCTTAATAGAAACTCTATTAATAGCAGCTTTAACATTTGCTACTTCAGAATTATTTCACTGGGTTTGTCAGTGATCAGGAACACTCAGAGGGTAAGCTGTGTTTGACAAAAATGTGGACACACACTGACAATAGTCCCTTACGCTCCTGGGGAGGACATCACACTCCTCAGTCCAGCATGTATTGTCTAGCAACTCTAACCACATCAACATTCCCTCTGCTGGGAGGATAGCCTCCAGATAACGCCCCAGGAGTCTCCATCTATACAGATGATCAGAAGCATGATTTATGTCCAAGAAGCATCTGATAGAAATTAACAACAAAACATGCTTGCAATGTCGTTCTAAAATAACATTTTTCTCACAGGCAAGCTGCAACAGTAAACTCCCTGCTTAAATGCCTGCTTAACAACTTCTTAGAGTACTTCTTACCAAGTGCGACACCATCACTGCTCCATCACAGTTTGCATTTGCAAGGTCACTTCGTTCTCGGCTTTCAATTATCTAGAAGAAGCAGGCACAATAAGCTTTTGTCACTTCAAATATTTAATAAAACAAAACAACCTTCTCATAGGAAAAGGCTTTTACCATTCTGAAGATGGTGTGAGAACGGCTGCTGTGTTCATTCATTTTTGTTTCCCCATAATGGCGATTTTCTGTCAAAAAAGAGTATTAGAAATACTTCTGTTTCTGAAATACACATGTAGAAATACAACCCAATAAACTGGAGATAAAAGACAAGAACAGCCTTTAAGCTCGCAAGCAGCAATTTCTGAATATTATCTCAAAGACACTCAGGATTCTAGATGTATACAATTCAATACTTTCCTAAAATATCAGCTGACACTGGTTGAACAGCTTACTTTCTCCTTTCCTGATCCATTCCATAACTTCTTCTGGGGAAACAACCACCTCTTCAGTGAGGTCTTCTACAAATGTATTTCTCTTAAGCAAACAAAGCAAAAAAAAGGTAAAAACCAGTATTAAATAACTTACTGAAAATTATAATTCACTTGAATACGTTAAGTTAACATTACCAAGAATTATGACTGTACTTTTAAAGGGAAGTGAGATTAGTTGAATGTATTTTTGCTTTAGTTCGCCTCTTGAAAAAAAGAGGAAAATTTAGACCTATAACAGTACTATAACCTGAAGAGACAAAAACCAGAGCTCCAGCAACCATCCTAAAAATTACATTGGTAAGGGAGATTCCCTCAGAATAGGTCCAGAAAGATATATCTGGAAGCGTTATAAGGCCATTATCATGGAGCTTATGTGTCTCCCCTCTTCCCAGATTCTAATACAAAAATAATTAAAAATACAAATAATTAAAATAATAATTATACTTATATATATATATATATATATTTATATATAATAAAATAAAAAATAATTAAAATACAAAAACAGTTTGTCACAAAGCTTGATATCAAGAACATAAGGATAGCATTATTTTATTTTTCCCTACAGATTATTTTACTGGATAGTACTACTCTGATAACTTTTCTGCGATTACAGTAGAAGAAAATTCTGCCCACTTTGTAAATGACATACAGAGCTGCTTTAATAGCATCTTTCTATCTTTTGAAGACTTCTAACGCATTGAGCTAGGGAATCAATACCATGTTTGTAGTTCCACTAGCTAGAAAAATCCCAAGTATTCACTGTTTTAGTTAAATAAAATACACTCTCTTGGAAAACGTCAAGAATGAAGTCTACGTTTTATAAACATTTATAAAGATAAGTCAGCAACAGCAAGCCCAGCTTCGCTGTTGCTGTTCTATTACATAAAAGTGCCTTTCTGCTGTCTTTGAATATAACAAATACAGTTTGATGAGGAAATGTTTTCACCTAGATGCCTCAAAGCTTTTTTTCCCCTCAAGCAGATGAAATTGATGTGTCTTCTTACATTAACATAATATCCACTTACATTAACATCCTCACGAATTCCTAGAGGCTTCTTTTTCCTGGTATCACAAAGCAAATCCGTAATGGTTTCATTGTAGATTTCCATGTAGGAAACTCTTAACAAGAATTCTCTGTCTGGAATCTAATGATCGCAAGAGGAAATAAAAACAATATTAAGCAAATTAGATCAGACTAAACAACGAACACCTTTAATTAAAGTACTCTGAACTCAAAGCTATATGCTTGGATATCCTTCCACAGACTTCTTTCCCCTTGGCACATGAGCATCTACAAATACAGATGCATTTCCTTCTGTCCCATCTCCTTCCAGCTGCATTAATGGTGTATCACGTTTATTAAGTCATAAAAGCAAATTAATTGGTCTACAGAAGCGTGACAATAGGTCAATTCAACTCCCCTTTCCATACTTAATTCTTTTCTCTCTTCTTGGTGTAGCTTGACTTCTCTCTCTTCGACCTGCTTTGCTAGGAAAGGCCACACACTAGACTACAGCACCACAGAAAGTACAGTTACTTTTATTTTTTTTTAATTACTTGGCTTTAAATACCTTTGCAGACCACCTCTGGGTGGTGCAATGAATTGCACAGAAGCCTTCCCAACTTAACAGTGAGGACACAATACATATTTGGCTATCTGATGATATGCTATGCGGTATCAATCCACCTGGATCTCATGCATGTCCATACAGATGACAGCCGGACAAGAACCAGACATAGCACAGCCACTTCACCTTCTCAGAAGAACCGACAGCCTTGTACATTCAAAGTCCAGGGTTAATGACAGCTGTCTCTAGTGGACTCAAACTACCCAAAAGCCATAAGGAGCAGCTTTGTCACCTGAAGTCAGTGCCTTACATACTGCTCCTGATATGCTCACATCAATCTGCTAGTCCATTCCCCAGCACGGAGGGCTTCAGTGTCCTACGCTTAGGCAGCCAGTGTCCTATGTCCTGGGTGCAGACCCAGTGAATCCTTTCTAGCAGGCTTATCCCATGTTATACCTAGATTCCCAGACAACTCTCGAACTATTAGCATTGACCAGTCTGGCTCACGATTCTTTTGAAAGCCTGAAGTAAGTAAATTCAGTTTAGTATTCTTCCCACTTAAAAAAAAAAAAAAAAAAAAGTCATTAATATTGTTAGTATTTTGAAGCTCAATTTTAAAATAGAAAAACAAAGAAGAAAGCTGCACATCACCTTGCCTAAGCTTGTAATTCAAGCATAATATATTGGCAAGCTTAAAAGCAATTGTTTTGTTACTGATTTGATTCCAAATATTTCACTTTCTTTTTTTACTTTTTAAAACCAACGGCATCTCTGCAAGCTTAGCAAAGTGAGTGCAACATATCCTCCAATATAAACTGTTTATTTTCTTCACAAACTCCTTAATGCTAAAATTAGTTTTCCTTTAACATTCAAAAATATTGGTAGTCCTTTCAGTCACCTCCATTTCATGGAGTTACTCACCTCACAAATAAGTTTGAAGACATGTTGGATTGCCTTAGGAATAACGCCTACACAATCTTCGTTCCCCATCATGGTGTACGTCTTCCCTGAGGAGGTCTGTCCATAAGCAAAGATGGTGCCTAGGAAGATGATTAAGTCTTACTATTTCCAAACTGCATTACAAATAGGATTAAAACACAGTTGTACAACCTACCGTTGTATCCTTGCACGGCTGATTGTATAATTGGAACAGCTACACCTTCGTACAATTGCTGTGTGTTGTCACTTGAGTGAAAGACACGATCTTAAAGAAAAAAAAAAAAAAAGAAAAAAAGCATTTAAGAACATTGCACTGCAAATCAGAAACAAGCCGTCATCTTATTCAGCAATGCTGACTTCAAGTATTGTATCATGGACAGAGTCTTTACAGGATGATTTAAACATAAAACACAGTTGTGTCACTACTGTGCCAGCCTTCAGGAACAAAAGATTAAACCCAACACCAAAAGTGATGATGCAAAGACAACAGAGCCTCAAAGAAACTAAGAATGACAGATGCAGTCGTCCCACTGAACCCTAAAAACGGTTAAGGCTGATCTATGTATCAGGACTGTAAGCCTGACAAGACTTGGAAAAATCGTGTCTGGAGGCAGTACGGTGGAGCAGCAGGAAGATGCTGAAAGCAAAAGGATCTCACGTGCACGGCATCCCAATGCTCTGGGCTCATCCCAATGCTCTGGGCTCAGCGCAGCCACTTGTCACTGAAATGGGAGCACTACAGAGGGCATCTGCCACCTCGCTTCCAGATCAACAGCGCCCAGCTCCTGCGCTCCAAAAACACTCTGCGGTGCAGCCCAGCACAGGAACAGGCACCGAGAGCAGGACGTTGGTTCCCCAAGGAGAATTCCTGGTCAGCACTGCCACACAAACACCACACCCGAAGCATGACGAGCCCGGGCACAACAACACGAGCCACGGGCAGCAGTGCCAGGACGCATTGCAGCCGCACATCCCGCAGGCCCGCGGCAGCCCCAGCTGCTCCTTCCCACACACTCACCGTAGCTGAAGGCTCGGGCACCGCTCACTTCTGAGACCGTGTTCCCCTCGCTCCTCCAGTGAGGCGCCGCCTCGTCCCCCAGAGCGCTCTCCCTACGAGACAAAGCCCCCCGCTAAGCTCACCAGCTCCACCCGCACCCGCACCCCCACGCCGCCCAGCCCCTCGCCCTCGCCCTCACCTGGCGAGGAGCGGCCGCAGCCGCACGCAGACGGTAACGGCCCCTTCGTCAGCCATCCCCGCGGCGCCTCAGGAGCCGCCTCAGGAGCCGCCTCAGGAGCCCGGGCCCGGCCGCCGCCGGGTTCGAACGGGGCCCGAGGCCGCCTCTTATTGGCCCGCGCCGCTGCTGCCGGGGGCGGGGGCGGGGCTGAGGGGAGCCGGGAGGGGGCTGAGGGGAGGGGAGGCGGAGGAAGGAGGCTGAGGCGGCTCCAAGGAGCCCACAGAACCCCCAGAAATGAGGCATCTGAAACTCACATTGAAGTTGGGCTCGTTTACGCTTGGTTATAAATCAAGTCTCAACTCTGACTTTAGTAACATAAAAGAATATCTGTAAAAGGCGAGTAAACAGCGCTGGGTGTGCGGGGAGTCTGTGCTCCACCAACACGCACACACGAACATCAAACATTCCAAATATGAAATAAATAAATATTAAATAAAAGGCATTGCTTTACATAATAACCCGAGTATGCCTATACACACGTACAATCAGGATAGGTAACTGTGAGGAATGTGTTAACAATTCGTGTCCATAAAGAACAGTCCTGTCTGCCTCTGGGCCCTGCACTGGCAATTTAATTCTTGAACCACAGATGCAGTGTGTCCCAGTCTCCCCCTCATTCTAGTCAATTTATCAAGTCTTCAGAAAATGCTCCTCAAATTTATGAACCTGTTTGCTTTTGCTATTCCAGACTTTTAACAGTTACAGCCATTTTTCTGTCTTCTTCCAGATTAACTTAACACTGCTCTAGGTGTGACTGTCCCTGTGAATGGCTGGGGAACAATGTTTTAATTACTGGTGAAGTGTCAATAAGAAAGCTATTTGTGTTTGTATGAAGTCTTTGATGTCTGGAGGTTTCAGAACAACTGCTAAGAACTGGTGACTGTTATGGGATATTATGCAAACCTCTGGTATCTGGCCAGGTGGCCAAGAGATTAAGAAGAAGAAAAAAGAAGCTGAAGGATGGCTGGGAGACAAGACCTGCAGAAAATGTTCTATAAACTTGGGACAGTGCCAAAGGAGTACAAAGGGAAGGATGAGAAAAAAACTTGGAGAGGAAGACTACGAGCCTTCAGCATGAGAGACCCCTAGAGACCCCCAGAGGAGACTGATGCGCATGCTCCAGTAGGAGGGACTGGACCCCGGAAGCTAATTATAATAATCTGATTTTTGTTAGAAGTAGTAATGAATATGTATTAGTCTAGGAGTGTAAAACAGCCTACAGAAACCCCCCAAATAAGAATCTTCCGCTTACACTGAAGATCAACTCATTTAGGATCCATTTATTAAAACCCTATAAATATTTAATCTTTTCAAGTATTCGTGTTTCCTATATCTTAATCGTGTCTTCCTCTTCATCACCTACTCATTCTTCCTCGTCTTCCTCTTCTTAGCTCTGGCTTTCTCCTTTTTAGCCTTGAAAGCCAGCTCCTCTTCCACCGTCGGGTCCGCGGCCTCGGTGATCTCCGGCCCGTCGGGGTATTCTTTTTGCACTGGCTCAGGCAGTGCAGGTGTATGGTTTTCTGGGCTGTATTTGTGACCCCAGCCAAAGTAGATATTATTAAATTTCCTGAGGGGAAAAAAAAAACGGTGAAAAGTTCACACCATCTGCCTGCAACAAAATAGCGATCAGTGCAGATCCTCTCAGGGCTCCTTACTCTGCTGTGCAAATAGAGTGCAAGCTCCCTGGAACACTGTTTAAAGGAACACATCTCTTTCTAGTTGTTGGATTCACTGCGACCAGCTCTGGGGCCCCCAGCACAAGAAGGATGTGGAGCTGTTAGTGTAGGTCCAGAGGAGGGCCATGAAAACCATCAGAGGGCTGGAGCAGCTCTCCTGTGAAGACAGGCTGAGAGAGCTGGGGATGTTCAGCCTGGGGAAGAGAAGGCTCCAAGGAAACCTCAAGTTGAAAGTTTTCAGTCCTGAAGTATCAAAGCTTTTCAGTACTTAAAAGGGGTCTTAAAACAAAGATGAGGAGAGACTTTTTCTAAGGGCATGTAGCAACAGAATAAGGGGTAATGCTTTTAAAGTGGAAAGAGGGTAGATATAGACTAGATATGAGGAAGAAATTCTTTGAGGGTGCTGAGGCACCAGAACAGGTTGTCCGCAGAAGCTGTGGATGCCCCATTTCTAGAAGTGTTCAAGGCCAGGCTCGTCTACCTGGGCAACCTGGTCTAGTGGGAGGTGCCTATGGCAGTGGGGGTGGAACTGGAGGATCTGTAGGTCCCTTCTAACCCAAACCATTCTATGCTTGCATACCTTCCACTTAAAAATCGCCAAGTGCAAAAAGGATGAATGCTACACTCTGTCACTGTGCGATATTGCAGTATGACTCCAACTTCACCTTAGTAACATAGAGCCATTCCCGGCACCCACTCCAGTGCCCATGTAAAGCTTCTAGTGGTAGTGACTGTACTGTGCCTAATAGAAACAACTGAAAATTAGAACAAAAGAATTAAGCTCATTTGTAAAAAGCACCACAGACTCAAGAATACAGGTTTTAAATCCAGGACTGTGGCCAGGCACTAACCGGACATGTACATGCATCAGTTTTCTGCTAGCATTTCCAAAGGTTCTTCATTTCCAGTCTTGAACACATACTGATGCTGTGCACTCTTAAGTGGCTTTCTCTATCAGTCTCAGAAATAGTTACAATTCAGTCAATAAATTAATAAGAAATCAAATTTGACTTCATTGGGCATGGCTGTGTTCAGCGTATCGTCTGTGTTGTAACCATGTCAACTGGCTACTCACGTGCCAGATGCAAAGGCATATGCTCCAGGCCATCGGTGCGACTGAAGGATTGCAACAGCATATTGAGGGATCAGGTTTGTAGAAGGCTGAGCTGTCCAAGCAGGGATGTTTTGAATTCCTGCAGGCAGCCAAACACACGCTACATGAATAAATTGACTTAGAAGACACTACAAAATATTGAGGACTGAGCTACAAGGCTTTCACAGAACTCAGGCAACGCTTATATTAAGATGCATGTTAGAAGAACTAAGTCACAAGCAATAAATGTAGACATTGTGTTCAGACAGGTGGTTTGGATGCAGGGGCAGGTATCACATGGATGCCAACAGTCCCATACAGAAAGGATCATGTTCTTGAAATGCAGTAGTGCTCGCTGCTGTTTCTTTTGTCAAGGATTGTTTATCACTGAGGGATAAATTACATATGTATTTCACCCTGATCAAAGAATGGGGAGTAGAAAAATAATTTGCAATGGCTACAGTCTAGTATTTAGGTTTCCGTATCACTAGGAGTTGCTGCAGTATGTGCTAGAGGATAAAAATTCTTATTTGTATATCTATGCATGTGTGAATATATTTTTATTTTTGTGTGCATGCTTTTCTTCTGCCTATAAAGGTGATGGAAAAATAGCTGAATGTATTTCAGGGGTGAGCTGTCTGGAACTTGCAGTAGCCTGACATATCTGAATATTTTTTCCCTTTATTCTCAGCAGGACTGTTAACTAGTAAACCCAATCATTTCAGTTTTAAGGTCGATTCTGTTAACCATTTCACATTTGATTAATTTTGTAAAAGAATGTGGTTACCCTACCATGGCAAACTGCATTGTTCTGTGAAGCGTCAGAGGCCTATAACTTCAAATATTTACTACCTAAATGCCAACAATCCCAGTGGCTCTATCAAAAATCATACTCCATGAGTACCACCTTCGTCTTCAGAGAGTGGAGTGAGAAGGGGAGGTCCTATTTCTTGCTGTAGTTCATCTGGCTCCTCCTCTTTCTCTTCCTCCTCTTCACCTTCCTCTTCTTCTTCCTCTGATTTTTGTGAAGGGTTAATCCAAACACAACGACCCTAGAATCAGTAAGGCAGAATAATAAATACACGCAACAATCAATGAAGAAATGCAAGCCAGTTAAAACAATGGGTTCACACACAAGCGCAAGTGGGGGAAAAAGAAAAAAAGATGTATTCCAGAATTGGGACGTTGTTGACAGAGAGCTGTACGTATCCTCTTGGCAGAGTGCTCTCTTTATCCCTCAGTCATTCCTTATCCCTGCTTACTATTGCAGAATGACCCCATGGCTCTCTGATCAGATTTCAGCTATTTTGTAGTTTTCAGGTCTTTTAAGTACAATCAATCCATGCCGATACTTATCCATGCTGATACTTATCCATGCTGATACTTATTGGCTGGGATCCTATCATTAAGCAAACATATATTTCAATATTCATCTTGTGAAGAGACAGTAACTTGTTGCTGGCCTTCATTGGGCACAAACATGCTAGCATTCCCTGTCCCTTCCTTGTCAGGCACAGGCTGTGAATATGCACAGAAGACAGACAGAACATCCTGTCCCTGTGCACCTGGGCCCAAGTCTAAACCATGCGCGTGAAAAGTCTTACCTTGTACTCTGTATTTCAGTTCAACAATTACTGAACACAGAAGGCACGAGAAAGACCACAGCATCCCATGTTTTCATGCCAAATTATCTTTATGTTTACAGTGAACAGAAGACAGGAATTTAGTTCAATCCTTGCCTGTTGTCAGTTGGGTTTGTATCCTTGCTGGATTGCCAGTTATTGCAAGCTGAGAGATGAACACTTACAGACTTTTAAAGACTTAATTCCTTTTAAAGTCTGCCTTGTTTTTTAGCTACCAGTCAGAGGAACATTACAAAATGTTCTTAAAATTCTAATGGTAACAGATTTTATTTTTTTTCGAACTATTGTTTTGCTGGCAATAAAATTAAACTTTAGTTCCTAGCACTTGCTCTTATTTTACACGACCATTCTTAAGTTGGTATCCAGGAAAGATGACTGCATTAGTAAAACCTCTTTCCAGCACTAACCTGATATAATAAATATTTTATGCTACAATTGTATTTACAATGGTTTGGTTTTAAGTTTTGAAGCTTTTTTGTTTGCATGTTTCACAGCAGAAAGCAAGCAACGGAAGGTAAGCCAGAAGAAAACACCAAATAAGTTTCGTTTAGCATACAATCACAAGCTATCTGAAACGTAGCATCCTATCCAAGAAGAGAGAATTAAAAACATTTCTGTCAAGCGAGGATTTCAGGAGAGGTAACCCAATGTAGAAGAAATAATTATCTATCAAGGCCTAATCCTACATGATTATCTAAAGATAGGTTTGCACCTGAAGATGGAAAAAATCATGAAACACGTGTATATTTAGGAACCTTCTCATATTTAAATATGTGCAACACATGTATATATGATAGAACGTTTCTAATCCATTTTCTGTAGAAAATCTTTTCAGGCCAGTCCTGTTTCTGGTGAATAGTTCAAATGGGGGGGTGAGGGGTTTCATTTACATTCTGAAGCACTACCGTGAGAATGGTATCTGAGGTCAGTGTGGCCTATGGGAGGACCTACCTGCTTTAAAATACTCGGCACATAGTGTACCCACGTGGAGAGAGACTCCACCATTTCAGCCACAGAAAGAGGCTGGAAATCCGGGTTTTCTTCACACGCATCTCTTCCTCCTCCCCCTTCCTCATCTTCATCTTCTTCCTCCGCAAACTGGTAAAATCCAATGGGACAGACATGGGTTCCTGCTGAGATCCGAGCTATCTGTGCACGCAGGTAGTTGGCCTCATTTCCAGGGAAAGGAGGGAAGCTCACAACAGGGGCATCCAGCCTACCAGTGAAGAACTTCTTGATTTGCCTGGCACAGACAATCTGCGCTGGTGTCACTGGAGGTAACTTCACCCAGGGTTTGCCAGGCTCATTGCAAACAAAGTAGATGTATTTGTTAGCCCCAGTTCCGTTTTCTTCTTTTGGGATGACAGGTGGGGGCTTGTAGGTAGACTTTGGTGGCTCATCTTCTTTTTCTTTCTCCTCGTCTTCATCTTCGACTTCACCCAGCCCTTTCTCTCCTTCATCAGGAACTTCTTCTTCCTCCTCTGTTTCCTCCTCCTCTACTCCCTCCTGGAATTGTACTTCAGCTATAATGTAGTTCATCTCCAGGCCCAAAATTTTGCCCCAGAAGCGACATGTCTGGATTGGCTGGGCACTAACGAGTTTTTTAAGGGCAAGAAATATGTGATAGTATTCATCTTTGCTCAAGCCAATTCCAGCCTGCTCAAAATAAAAGGCTGTTTCCATCACATTAGGTAGAGGAGTCTCTCCCTAGTAAAGAAAATCGTGAGTTAGAGCTGAGTAATAATAAAATGATCTATTTGAAAGATGGAACAATTTATCTACTGAAAGTCATACTTCACTTTCCTATAGTGCGCTCTCTCAAAAAGCTCTGCTGACATTCATTTACATCTCCCACTATCATTTAGAAAAATTAAAAATGACATTGTAAGGATAAAGAAGAGAACACAGATGAAGTGCAGCTTTTAGAATACAAGATCTCAATTTTCAAATTCACTTTTAATTACTGCAAAGTACAGAAAGAATTCTCACGAGGGATCTGCACAGGACTTCAGTGCTAGCACACCTTTTCTGTATAAGAGGCCTTGATGCCTGGAAGCAGTGCTGCTGTTGCCTCGTGTTTGTGGCAGATGCACGTGGGGAAAGCAGAAATAGATTTTATACATTTAGACACCAGGGCAACAATATTTCTCTGCAATGAATGTTGTTCTTTTGGATACTTTGGCATAAAGCTCCCTTCATTATTTAAGATGGAATCTGTTAGAGCCGGTATGAAATACTGTCCCCTGACTGAAGTCACTAGTAACACCCCAGCTGGATTCAAGAGGGGCAAGACTATGCTGGGAATGAGGATTTTATTACGTGTTTCCATTCGCTTTATGACCAGTCTCTCATTTCATGGCTGTAGGGGATTAAAACATCCTGCACAACAGAGTAGGGAATTTGGAAGAAGTAGTGTTGGTTTCACATGGAAGATCCCTGGCTCTTTCAGGTTTATTACGTCAAAGCAAGGTAGATACAAGTAGGAAAAATTCCCTTCTGAAACATCCCACTTTTGTCCATTTTTTACCATCACATACTGTAAAATTAGTAACAGTCTATGGAAAAGATGCAATAATGTATTTTCTATTGTTAGGATTTATATTCTATGATGGCAATTCATTTGAATATATCCTGGTAACTTCATATGAAAATCAACGTCTTATTATCGTTTGTTTCCCTTAGTTTTTACAAGAATTCTCTTAATTTTTCTTTGGGTACAAATACTTCCATATATAACCAACTAAATACTGAAAATTTCCCTGTTTAATGAAATGGCTTTTTGATTCTAATAGTTTTTTCTTCTTGTAAGCATTTTTTTTTTTTTCTAGTTGGAGAAGGAAGGACTGGAACTGCAGCTGGAGCTGGAAGGAACACAAAATTCTCTATCTTACCGTAGCAGTTGTGCACAATATTCTGAAAGAAGTATCCAGAATTATGGTTACTTTAGGTAAAGAAATATCAGGTTTAGATAAAGAAAAGAATTTGGGTGGCATATTCCAGGTTGAACAAGCGTATGAGAGATACTGTAAACTTTCCTTTCTATTTATCATCTCCAGAACATCTATGCTTTAATTAAAAGCTCGGGATACGAGACTTACTGCAGCAACTAAATTCCAAACTAAGTAACCAGCTGTGTTTTCTTCACAACTTGACACGGGACCAACTGAACTGTGAAGAGGGTACATGCTACTGCGGCTGTAATCATTTCATGCAATCACGAGAGGCAATATTATGAGGGAGACCACCACTTCCACCTCTTCTCTTCTGCCTTCCTGCCACCTGCCACCCATCTCTCCAGTATATTTGATATCTATTGGTGCCTGATAATAACTCACTTCCTTTTCGTCTAGTTCTTCATCTCCTTCTTCATATGACTTGAGGAACAAACTTTTACTCCTTTCTGCAGATTCAAACCTTGGAGGCATTGCAGGTTCATCTCGAAGAGTATCCATTTTTTTCTGAAATTGAGCCCACTTCACGTCCTTGCTGATATTCTCAATTATGTCTACCACATCTGTGGGCTGTTCATCCAGGATCTTTGTTAGCGTATTAGCAAGATGATCGTACCTGTCATATGAATATAAGTATTATTACTGACCTACTATTACGGAAGTCTTAGAATATTGTTTTTAATATCGAAAGTAGACGGTAATCACCTGGGCGTCAAAGAAATCGGAACAGTTAGATGCAAAGGGATCATGCAGCATTTTGGGAAATTAGACTTGAAACTAGCCTCTTTGTGATATAATCAAGAGTAGCCTCGTCTTCCATTTTTTGTTTACCCCACATCTGACCAAGGAGCTAAAGCAGAGTTCAAGCCTGGTCTTAATCTAATCGAAGGCTCTTTGAACACCATAAATTCCCTTAGGAATTTGGATTGAAAGGGGCCGGACACGCAGTTATAGCATAGCGATTAAACACTGCATTTATAACATGTTCTGCTTTTCTATACTCTGCCGTCCCTGACAGCATAGCCCTTTACCCTGTCACCACCACTCTCATCCTACCCCTTTCCTTCTTGTCTCTTTTGCAGACTTACAAGTTGAGGCCAGATGTCGTGCTGCTCGTCAGCAAGTAGGCTTTTGCATTCTGCATTGCCAGCATTCGGGCTTCGGGATCTGGTACTGGATCATCGTACGGGCTGTATCCTGGCTGATAGAGCCCGTAACCGGGCTCGTGTGGCTGATAGGGGCCATGCCCATCCTCATAGGCTTGGTAAGGCTCCTGTCCTACTCCGTATGTCTGACGGGCACTTCTTGGCTCCTGTGTTTGGCAAGGGTCAAATCCCAGTGCTTGCGACTGATCCGCGCTTTGGCTCGCCTCCTGCGAGTCCTGTCCCTCTGCATACAGCTGGCTGAATCCTTCTGGCACCTGGTGCTCAGGAGAGGCTTGTTCCATCCCCTGTGGGCGATACCGAGTTAGGGTCAGCAATTTATAGGGTGCCCGGCCGGCACTGTCCCGTCAGTAGGGCTCTCAGCAGGGTACTGAGGGCGAGACCCTCCTTCACAGCCCCCACCCCACCTCCTGGCGTTCCCGGGAACCTGCTCCCGCTCCTGACTCCTCAGGAGGAGACCGCTCGGGGTCCTCCTGGGGCTGCCCGGGGCTCTCTCCGGGCTCCTCGGGAGGCTCGGCCGTGGCGTCCATGAAGCGGCCGCCCTTGCCCGTTGCCAGGGCCGCGGGGCCCGGAAGGGGTGTGCCCGGCGGCAGGGCCGGACCCCGCCGCCATTTGGCGCCGCGCCCTGGGCTCCGCCATCACGGGTGGGCTGCGAGGGGCAGCGTGAGGGGCGTCCCCGCTTCCCCCCTGTACCCAAGTGTTAAAATGCCCAGGACGAGGTTCAGCGGTACAGGGGAAGAGCCTGCTGGCTGTTTCCTCGAGATCTGCTTGACAGCCGTGTGGTAGCGCAGTGGGGGATGCTGTGGCAGCTCCCTCAGGTGTCGTGCTGCAGCGCTACCGACTACAACAGGTGGTTGAAGTTAAAGTTTAAAAGCTTCACCGTATGTCAGAAAGCTTCTCGTGTAAATCGTCTCCTGCGTTGCTTATGATCAGGCTCGCCTCATCTTAATTGCTTATGGCCAAGTCAGTAAAGATCTCTTACTAGTTGACTAAACACGTACCTAGTATTCGACGAGGAGGCTATAAAACAAATAGCTGTTTTTTTCTTAAGCCCTTAGGCTAGCACATTTGAACAGACATCTAAAGCTGGCCGGGCCTTGAGTTAGTGTCAAATGTTTTCTAAAAATCTGACGTGAAAAACAATACTGTGACAGGGTATCCGAGGGAAGAAATCGATGCTGTACGCATCTCTACAAAATGCCCTGTTCACATTATAAAACCAAATACCGCAGCTGTTTGTCTGGTAAAATATGCTTAATCTGTGCTCAACGCATGAATTAACACAACTTTTTATAAGTACAGTTTATTTTGGGTGCTTCTTAGAAGTAACCAGAAAGAACGAATTCTGACAAGGCCTCGCAAATTGCTTTCCAGTTCCAAGAGGGAATGCCAGAAGTACCACAGAGGAACCTGACTCTGAACAGCAGCAACAACAAAACAGCTTTCCACATCCTTCCATGGGCAAAAGGAGAATTTGAGAGTTCCTGTACAACATCCCTGTGATGCCAAAAGGTAAGGTAATGTCATGAAAATGTTAATTGTGCTGAGTTTCAACACGAAGAGGTTTTGACTTCCTGGTATTGGCAAGGCATTTGCCCAAGTCCCTCATTTTGCAGATGTATTTGCAGAGCTCACACATCAACTGCAGAGGGCGCGACAGTACTTGTGAATTGCTTTTTATGTGCTATCTGTAGTTCTTATTTGGAGGAAAACCTTGATTTGTTGTTTAGTAATTAATTTCTCTAAAATGCATACAGTTATCAGTATTTGTGTAATGTCTTGTGAGGCACCTGCTCAAGAAAAGTCAAGTGCTGTATCTTTACAATCTCTGTTAGCAAAGAAAGAGAAAATGAAGAGCATGTGTAATTTGCTGTAGTGTTACTCTCTGCCTTTCCTATTATAGAGATTATTAAATGTACGAGGGGCTCAGGGCAGAGAGTACCTCAGTGCAGAAGGATGTTTTATCAACATGGTGTCGTGAGCTCTTATCAATAAAGAAGAAGAGCAACTGAATACATACAGTAATACTGCAGAATTTCACTGTGGCAAACACCACCAGTAGGATGTGTTAATTAGCTGAAGAGTAAAGTATTTCCTAATGTTTTCTCTTTCCAAGGGAGATGTGCTAATGGCTTGTGTTGATACCTGACCACAGCAGATGCAATGGTCTCTCTTGTACTATGAATTTGAGACATTTTTCCAACAGCACTTTTTAAACTGAAATCTTGGTGTCTGCTGACTTCCAGTCGCAGATCCAGAGGTGACATATAAAATGCCACATGTAGAACTGAACATTTGTTGCATTGTGGTAGTTTCGTTGCTGAATTTTGAACGTGCTTGCACTGGTAGGGGAATCTGAATAGAGCTTCCCATTTCACATGGGAATCCTTCTGTGCTCTGTTAATGTGGAGGCAATCAATGAATTAAAAAGCCCAGTTGCAGGTCCCACATGTGTGAAGAAGCATGCTTTCACCATCAGACTGGTGAGGAGCAGCTGTAACCACTGGGGTGGTTCCTGTGAAGTGGGCAAGGCAAGTTTCTCTGCCTTTTGTCCTTGTCTTAGGAGCTGGGTGCCAATGCTTTCTGTGCAGAAAATACTCCTGCCAGCAGCTGCCAGGTGTGCTGTCTGTCAGCTCGCTCGAGAGGAAGGCCTAATTAGTCAATTTTTAGGTTGCAAATCATGTTTAAGACTGAAGTGCCCCTGAGCACGTGAAGATGAACTTTACCTTCTCCTTTAATGTATGTTTATGAATTAAATACTTACGGTCAATCTGCATGCAACTACAAGACTTCAAGAAAAAAGGTATGAAAAGACTGTGAAGTACGAAACTACTTCTTATGTTTTTTCTCTGTTCAGAAGCTACAACATTAATTTCTCCTCAGTTCCAAAGCAGTTTCACACAAATTTATACTCAATTAAATACACAAGTGGCTTTAACTATGTAAATTCTATCTTTTATTTTTTCTATTTTTTATTATTATTATTTTATTTATTTTTTAAACCCTAAGCTAAATTAGTGCTGGCAGTCAGAGGTGCTTTTCCATGAGGCAATGTTATTAGGAAGCTGAGAGACCATCATCCTTCTGGAGGGGTCTGATGGGAAATGTGGAAGGTGCTTTGCAGAGAATAACAATCATTTGTAGAAATCCGATGCTGGTTTTTGCTCTTGCTGCAGTCGGTGGGAGCTTTATTATGGACTTAGTGAAAGTAAGATGACGTCCTTTGTCATTTCATCAGCACTTGACTCCCATAACCCGTTTTGTGTGGATGAACAGATTTTAGTCCTGATTTGAAGGGGAGAGTTGCCATGGTTAAGGCTGAGCATGACTTTGCATCCAGAGGTGTGAATTCTGTATTGTGTATCCCCTGAGTTCAGAAAATTACCCTGACTTACAGGAAAATGCTGAATAAATGCATTTAATTATATGTGGCTGTGATTGTGGTGATGTAAGGCAGCGAAATTTCAAGGTGGGAGAAAATCTTCTCTCACTTGGTAATCTGAGTGCTAAACCTATGTTGTGAACAAAGCTCTTGCTCAAGCTATGTTATGATAGCGACCTGATGAGGATTTTTGGTGTGAAAAATGCAGGACGGGAAAGTTTTTCAGATAGTGGGTTGTAACGTCTTTGTGCCTGATTTCTGTTACTGGAGGTGTCGAGAGGCAGGAGACCTTTTCTCCATTAACACCAGTGACAGGACCCGTGGGAACGGGGTTAAGCTGAGGCAGGGGAAGTTTAGGCTTGACATCAGGAGGGGGTTCTTCACAGAGAGAGTGGTTGCACACTGGAACAGGCTCCCCAGGGAAGTGGTCACTGCACCGAGCCTGACTGAATTTAAGAAGAGATTGGACTGTGCACTTAGTCACATGGTCTGAACTTTTGGGTAGACCTGTGCGGTGTCGAGAGTTGGACTTGATGATCCTTAAGGGTCCCTTCCAACTCAGGATATTCTATGATTCTATGATTTCTCTCTTTTGGGGAGCTGTGAGACTGACTAAAACTTGCAGTTTGCAGTGGATGCTACGATTAGTGCTTTCTAAGTGCTGTATCTCAACTTTATCAGAACTTTCATTGATTTTGGCATGTCGTTTCTTGTCTTTCAGTACCATCACAGAGCTGTGGGTTTTGCTGTTATTTATGAGGAGAAAGCATGGTTTTCTGGCAAAAAGGATGTTAGCTGTTGTGCTTCTTTTAAATACATCCTGGGTTTAAGCAGTGTCAGCTGAGGTACTTTGTCCTGGTGCTCAGAACTTGTCTGTTTCTTACAAGTCGATCAGATCGCAGCTGCTGCAGGCTTCACAGGCTGTGTGGAGTGATAATTGCGAGGGTGAGATGAAGAAAATGTTGGTCCTTGCTGGTACATTACAGCTGCAGTAAGATCAAGTGGGCCCGTTCTGGAGCCGTGCAGGGCCAGCTCAGCTTCTCTTCCGTGCTTCTGTAGGCTGTTAGGTGGAGAAGTCCAAGCGGCTGGCTGGAGCAGTGCCTTGCCTTCAAGTCTAACTCTTCTTCACTGTGTTCCTGAACTCTTTCTCATCAACTGAACCAACCAGATCTGTTGCGTTGAGCCCCACAGATCCTCGTGGTTGTGTTGTTGATGAAAATGGGAAAATTTGGTGGTCGGAATCTAAGGTCTTTGCTTGCTCCAGGTGTGACTGTGCAGGAGTGGTGTGGTGTGTGTGGGGGCAAGACCCCGTTCTGCTCTGCCTCTCGCAGCCTTGAGCGATCTTCAGGAGCACAGCAAGGAAACAGAAGCCAGTGAAGTTCTCCTGGGGTGGTGGTGGGATGAAAAGGTGGGAGGTTGTGTTCAATAGAGAAATTCTTGGGCATTTTGTTTCTGTTGGTATTAGATTAAGAGAAAGCTAAAGTCATAAAAACGGAGCAACAATTTATAGTAAGTAAAAAGGAGGCTTACTTTTTAGGTTTGTAAAAACAAACAAAAAAAAAACCACCTGTGTTTCTGAAAGTGATAAAATGAACTCTTGTATTAGGTACTGCATTGAATTGATAATGATTACATGCGGTAGTTTTGCTCAGCTTCAGCATGAGAATAACTGCAGTCGCTTTGAAAGGATTATACGTTTCCGTCAGCTCCTATTTTGCTGTTCCCCGGCTGTGTGTTGTAGCACTTCTCACTGTAGAATGGATTTGATAATTTTTTTCCCGACTGTGGTAAACCCTCTAGTCTGCAGCAGCAGTGTAAATCAGGGCATAGTGATTCAGCAGTATTTTACAAGAAATGAAGAAATGGAGAACTGGGCCTGGCATTTTGCCCTTTCAAATGACTAGGAAAAGGACTAGGTAAATATATACTGTGCTGTTTGTCAAATACTTATAAAATAGTCTAACATCAAAATCCTGCAGGAGTGTGGATGGCATTGTTCTCGTTATGGACTCTGGAAATGTCCAGGAGGTTCTGAGGAACTTAATGATGTGCAAAAGGTGGTTCACTAGGGCTACGTATGTGTGTAAAAATGTTCACACAAACTCTTTACAGGAGAAGCTTGCCATGTTAGGTTCAGTAATAAATGTGAAATTCTGCTCAAAAATCCATCTTTATATTGTAGTCTTGTCATAAAATCAGCATTACTGAATTGGCAAGCTTTGGATCAAGCACATGAGCATGAAGAAGTATTTGAAAAGCTTAGGCATATTACTTTTTTATTCAAAAATACAACGTTTCAGTCCATATTTTTTTAACAATGTCCAAGCAAGTTGCCCTGTATTTTGCCATTTTGACTGCGTGCTGTGCAATAATTGATTTGTTTGATGATAGCAGCAAGCTCAGAAATAGCGTTTTTAATTTCTGTGCTGAGTTCATATTGCAGCTGTGATCTCTATTTGAAATATAACTCAAAGCATAATGAGGAAGCACGTCCATAAAGTTCCCTCCGTGATGTTTTCCACTAAGGAGAAATCCGGCTGTATCATTGTTACTTTATGAAATACCGTTAGATCAGTCATTTTCTCTGGAAATAATTTCTAGAAGTTCAACTATTCTTTCACTGCAAATTGGCCACCTAGGTTCAGTTTGTATTGTTGCAGATAACTGTCCCATTTTCTTCTTCCAGAGATGTAGAATTTCCTGTGACTTCTACATCTTACTACCTTTATTAACTTATTCTGGCAATAAGCACGTTCACTGGAAAAATATTTTCTTCTTCTTTGCTATTTTTTTTCTTTTTTATTACTTTGGATATTGCTTCTATTTTCACTGCATTTTCACTTTTTTTCCCCATGAAAAACATGACAAAAAGAAGGCAAAAACTTGCAGCAGCAATCAAAAGACTATATTTAGGAGAAGGCAACGGGAGTACCTACAAAGTGTCTCTGAGGTTTGTTTCACCGTATTATACATCTGTAACTTTTGCTAATATCACCAGATTTCTGATACAATGGTTTCCATCTCATTTTACATATAAATAAGTTTTCCATAGAAAATATGCCATGAATTTAGATAGTAGATTCTATTAGTCTGTTTTTCCTGCACGATATTTATATAGCCTTTGTAAACAGCATCTTGCTCACCTGGATTTGAGATTTGCTTCCCTCTTTTATGCTGGTGGTCAGAACTGGTTCTGTAGCTGTCGGTGATGCTAATATGTTCAAAGCATCTGGATTAAACCATATATTGATCTGCGTTTCTCTGTCAAAATATGAAAAGGGAAAAAAGTGTCCTTGTAGGAAACTCTAAGGGCATCCCTTAAGTATGTAAAAATTAAGGACTGAAACATTTTAATGTTAGCTGTCTGGAGTGAGATTGAGAACTCTTTCTAATGCTTATAGAATACACACATAAAATATAAAATGTTTGGGAATTAAAAGGATGTTACAAACAAGGGATTGCTGAACTGTATGACATGGCAATTCTGTCATGGTATGCTATAAGTGATGCATCTCTTTAGGCTTTAATCACCCTTCTCAGAACTTAAAGGGGTCATGACTATCTTTTTCACATTCACAACTTAGAGATCTTCTCCTGAAGTAGACAGGGTCTGTCTGAGGGGGTGCTGGTTCAGGGCAAAATTCTGCTATCTATTCTGCTTAAGACTGAAAACATGCATTTCATTATTATTTTTTTAACCTTTTATAAAGGAAAACCACGGCTGTAGAGCAAGGCCAATGAGTGGCTTATAAGAGGTTCCAAGTGATCTACTCCTGAAGTAGTTTCCCAGGATGCGGAAACTGTGAGAAGAAAACATGGGGAGCAAAAACTCAAGGTATCACAGTAACTCACGGTAGTTTGAGACTTCTCTTTGAAGAATCTGGGTCCAAACATGATCAGTTAATCTGACAGTGTTTTGTTTCTTCAAGTGACCATCGCTTTATTCAGAGGGCCAAATTCCATTGTGAAGTTCAGTACTGAAGCTCTCTGCACCTCGTTGAGACAGCTATGGCTTGAATTCCTGTCTTCCATCAATCAGCATTACACATTTTTTATTAATGATGTTCTACAGAGGTTCTAAGTTTGTACATTTAAAAAATAATAATCTTTTTGCACAGATATAGAGGTGAAGCAAGAAGAATCACTCTTCATGTTTTAGAAGAAAAAAGGCCCACATCTCTTACTTTCAAAGTAGGGAGCGCATTTACAAATTGAAAATAAATTACAACACACAAAAATTTAGCAGGGTTAACATGCCTGCCTGTGCTACGTTTCCAATCTCCTTGACAACTCACGGTAATCAGCATTTTAGGTGGAGATTCAATAAATACTGCTCCGTGTTGTTCTGAGGTTTAACTACTGCTTTGAAACAAACATGAAACTCAAATGAAAATGTTTGCTCAGTTTCTGTTATTGGTATTCAAAAGAATATTATGGCTGTGTGGTTCTGAGCTAATTACCAGGTTTAATTATGTACCATTTGGCTTCAGTTTTGCATCCCTGAGCCTTAAAACACATCTTGTTAACATTCTTCTTTCCGTGGTTATTGCAATAGTGTCTGGTGTGCATCATTGCCATTTATGTGAGCGGTGTACTTGCTAGAATAGGGACGCTTCCTCAGCCTAAGATCTTAATGATCTTATTCCAGAGTTCCTCAAATCCCTTATCCCGAGTTTGAACTTCATGTAAGTGATGTGAAGACCCTGTATTGACCCCTGTGGAATGATTAATTCAGCACTTCTTCCCATGTGTTCTTAGTCAACCTTTTGCTCTTCCCATTTATTCAATAATTTATTGACCAGACTGTTAACTGTGAATAATTAAAGGCAGTAATAAACCTCCTGGATAGTTGTGAGATGGCTCGCAGAACATTCAGGTCCAGTTTTAACTCACTCCCTCTCCCCCTTTTTGTTTTGTTTTTGTTTGTTTGAGAGCTCTCTGTGTAGGTGTGTCTTCCATATGTGAGGAGGAAAAAGAAAATCTCCATATGAGATTTTTAGTGTTTAGCAGCTCTGCTGTTAACACAAAAATAATTCCGATACCTCGCCAGTTTTCATGCTAGTTTAGTTGCAAAGAAATTGCCACCAGCATTATGGCACAAAGAGGAGACCACGTTGTGGCCAAAACAAAGCAGGCACAATCCCCCCACGCTTGTAAACGTGTCACGATTTGGAAGTATTGCATTTATCTGAACCCCAAAAGTAAAAGTAAAGACTTAATTTTTTTTGGACAAAGGTGGTGAGGAGGAGCAATAATCATCATAGTGACTTTCTAAATGAAGACAGCTGTAATTATAAGGCTGTTCTCAGCTGGTTTTAATCAGATCAGTTTTATTGCGATCCATGAAACTCTGCAAGCTTTTGCTACTTGAAAATCTCTCGTGGCGTGTCTGGATCTTTTGATGGTTCATGATGCTATCTTCTTCCCTTCCAATTTTCTCTACCTGTTCTAATTTTGAAAGTGAAGGAACAAGAGCATTTTGGGATGAGCAGGTAAGATTAAGAAGTGCCAACAAGCAGTGGGACCGCTTGCTAATCAGCGAGTTGATTAACTGTTAGGGAAGGCAAACAAATTTGGCTAATAATATGCCAGAAGAAAGAAGACATCACAGCTGAAAGGTAGCAGTTAAAAGCAAAATTAATTTCGCTTGTGGAGGTGCCACTCTTGAAAGAAGCTGGAGTTGCAGTAGCTTTGTTCCTGAGCTGGATTTCCTGAATCAGAGCCTTTTGCCTAAGCAATGACTGAAAGAGAAAGTGCTCAGACGTTCTTGATAGGCTTCTGAGATCTAGCCCAGAAAGATGTACTGTCTTCTAACAGGCAAAGATGTGGTGAGCTTAACCGGTAGAAAGGAAAGACCTATTCTGGCTGTGTTATTTCAGGTTTAGGCTCCCTCAGTTTCAGCTGGCTGGATTCCTTCTGGCTCTGGGATTTAAAGAAAGGGCAATTGGCATAGGAGACAAAATTTGTAGAAACAATTTATCTACTTAGGTGCAATGTACTTCCAGGATTGCGAGTTTCTTCTAGTAATAGATCTGTTTCTGTAAACAGGCAGTAAAGGGAGGTAATTGGGTTTAGGAGCAGCCATTGCTCAATGACAGGAGAACATAATTCTCTGTTGTAATAAATAATAAAGGGTCCATCATGCCTGGCTTGTATTATTCAGGTACTGAAATCCATTAAACCAGTAGGTATGTGAGAGTGAGGAATGAGAGGGACACATGAGTGATCTTAGTTATTTTCTGCGTTTCACCTGAGATGTATAAACTTGGCTGATCAAACAATGTCTCAAACTCTTTTAAGTACTCCAACTGCTTATCTCCAGTATTTTATTAAATCCTAATGTAAACATCAGTTAACAACCTCCCTCCTGCCTCTTTTAATGATGTTTAATGAGCAATTGATCTGAATTAACAGCAGGCGATGCCGTGTCATTCCTATATTTCTAACAGATCTGTTCCCATCATTCTGTGGCTGTATTTGGCGATGAAGGGAACCTGCGATCTGATTCACCAGTCTGGGAGATGACTCAGGGCACGCGTCTTAATGAAGCGCTGCTCCTTCAGGCCTCTGACACTTCTGATGATGTTAAATAACTGTTCATTAGTTTGTTTATCTGACCCTTGAGCTGATGAAGATTTTTAATTTTCATCTCCAAGAAGGGCCTTTTAAATTCCTTCTTGAAAGATTCTTCTGCTGACATCTTTGGGGGAGAGAATGAAAAATACTTCAACCAATGCAGAGTAAATAAATCATACAAACCTGAACCACCACCGATCAGCTTGTCTGAAGTGCTCAATTTTCAGTTAGTACACTCAACAATAAATATAAGAGGAATTATTTGAGTGAGAAACGGTTTTGCTTGTCACGAATTTTAGCTTGGACGTGCTGTTTGAATTAAGGCTGGATGTGTAGTGAAGTAGCATGTTTGCCCACGCTGCCCATCCATGACTTTGTTGCACTGCCTTTGGGTTTGTCTGACGTTGGGCACTGTCCGTTTGCTTTACGTGGAAGAGTTGTATCGAGGGCAAGGAACCTCTGGCTTTATTGCTATGCAAGATTTGCGTCTCCTGAAAGTAGTGGAGCTCTGCAGATTAACTCCAGGCCTAGATTTAAAGGTGTGCGGTGGTTCATCTACGTTTGAATGAGTTCTGTAATTTGAAAACAAATGGAAAGCTAAATGCATGTTGTAAGCTCTGTGCTTTGTTGTAAATAACGCGCATCAGTAGGAGCACTTGCTCACCAGCTGATGGGATGTGTCGCCAATGTTGCTGCTATAAAAGCCTCATCAGCGGACAGTTGTTCAATCAGCCTCCTAGGAAGAGCAGAGAAGATTCCCTCAAATGACAGGAGCTGCATATTTATGGAGTATAATCTGTATGCCATCTGCTAGGAGACAGGTGAGAAACAAAGTGGGGAGAGAAAAACCCCGTTATGGGGAGGGGGCCTTTAAAGAACTGGCTATTTCATACGCATGTATTTCCCAACAAGGGGAATTGCAGCAGAAGGCAGTTACATTTCTGCAGAGTTGTGCTTCTGAACTTCAGACAGAGAGCAACTGGGAACTGTGTAGCTCTCTGGGAGCTACAAGAAATATTTATTTCTTAAATGGCTCAGTGTGCAAAAGCAAGGAGCTCTCCCTTCTGTCATTAGGTAATTGCGGCATGTGATGGCAGGTGTGCTGGCTCTCGGTTTGGTCGCCAATATGCGAGCAAATGGCATCAGCAGCCTGTGTCTGTCTTACAGAGGGCAGGAGCTCCTCCTGCCGAGAGCTGCTGTTGTGCCTGGCATCTGCTCTAGCATATGGGGATTTCTTGCATCGTGCCGATTAACTACGGCAGGAACAGTTTTAGTGTCGTTTAGCAAGAGCATAAATATTCTAATAACCTATGGAGAAGAGATTTTATATTGAAATGCATCTCTTCTGTCGTTTGTCTGAGTATTTCAAGTGGACCAACTTTAATTTGGTGAGTGGAACATGGTCACAATGGTAGCAAGAATTGACTTCTGGGTTAGATGGGTCAACGTGTGTCAAGTATCTTCGAGTCTAATTGTTGAGAGGCACTGTAGTCTAATGTGAGGAATAGATTGTTACCCCCTCTGTGTTAGGCAAAGATTTCCATTGGTTGACACGCTGAACTTCTGAAATTAAAGATATATATGTGTATATTTTTCCTGGAAGCCGGTGGAATGATTTAATTTCTGCAGACAAGCTTGTGTAGACACCAGGCAAGAGCTGCCCTGGTTTCCTGTAGCAGCCCATGGTTGCCCTTGCAGAAGAGCTGTTGCCTGAAGCAGGCCGGTTCCCTTGGTGTCCTGAGATACAGCTTTCTGCTACAAGCCCTGAATCCCCGTTCCTGTCGGGTATGTGAATCACTGGTGGCTGTTGTTAGGATTTTGGGCCGTGATCTTTAGGCAAAACAAGCCCAAGCTTGATGTGAGTCATTTGGCACGAGAAATGGGTAGATTCCCGGTCATGAAGCGTTCAAGGCATGTGGGATGGCAGTGATATGGAGGAGCTTTCCCTGCTGACAGCTTTTGAAAGGAGCTCACGTGAAGAGCACGCTTGGGAGGCCCTGCCAAAGCATCTGTATATCAGCTCCAAGGCTTCTGGGTGCTCGGAGCTAATGGTAAATTAATCGTGTACGGAATCATTCCTTAAAGCAGACAGTGAGCCATACACACACTGTGAGTGGCGATTTATCAAACCGAGCTGATTGTTAAATAAATGCTCCTGTGCAATTTGTAATGGATGTGTTTTTGGTTCATATTGATATGACTGGATCTGACATAGTTGTGATGAGTAATTCAGCTTCATTAGAAGGCAGCTTAATCCATTGCTGTGTTTTCCCCTAATTCCAACTGGAAGTGCTTTCAGAATGGCCCTAGTAAGAAAAGGGTTGAAATAATTTGGTGCCTGTGTTATTCCCCAGGTTTGCTCAAGGTAGCAGCCCTCGCTTCTGGAAGACCTGCTTCTTTCTCTCAAAACCAACCCATTTCCAAACACCCTCGTGCTTTCCTCCTGAAGGAAAAAGCAGGGGTTTTAAAGTCTTGTCTTATCATATGCCTGTCTCAGTCTTGGAAGCCACGTTTCAATCTCCATTCTGAGAAGAAGGATGGCACTACTGCCTTTGAGGTGGCAGCGTGCTCCTTCTAAATGGCAAAAGCGTAGGAAATTCTGGAATGTGATTCTGCTGGGTTGACACATTTATTTCCCAGCCTTGAAAAGTCAGTGCTGCCAGTTGAACCTAGTTATGCTCCAGAAAAAAACAATGTTGGACTAATGTGTAGCTCCAAAATAAGGTGTTCAGTCTGCTCTATGAGTAGCAGTTGTCCTTTCTATGCAGCGGATAATTTGGAGGTGTTCATTCATCTCCTTGAGTGGCGAGGTGGCTGTTCTTCAGTCGGTGGTAAGGTTTCAGGTTATAGGAAAGGCAGCTCCGTTTTGGCAGAGGAACGAGCTACTAATAGGTCCCTCTAACAGAGGAAACCATTTCGTATTTCATTGCTAGAAATAAGCCAATGCTGCAAAATTTGAATCAACTCCAAACTTCAGTAAACCTCAAATTTAGGATTTCTTTTCAGGTCTGATAAAAGATCCATACTAGCTGCAAAATGGAAATCCTAAATCGTGGTCCAAACTCCCTCAAAGTTAGGGATTATTCTAACGAATCTAAAATTGCACTACTAGACTACTTTTTGGTATTGAAGTTGAGTTTAATGCACTTAAGTCAAGTCGCTATAAGCATAGAACTTTGCTGTTTAGAAAAATTAAATTTACGTGTTTTCTTTTTTTTTTCTTCCCTATAGCGAACCTTTCTTTGCAGGTGTTTTCTTTTGGTAGCTCTGCTTCTGGTACTAATCCTTCCTCCCAGGCTTGGCAGCCAAGTCTTGATATAGTCATTGCACTGCATTTCTTCTTCTCAGCATCAGCTAGATTTAATCACTCCCCCGAGCAGAGATGGAAATTGAGCTTGCCTCCAGCACGCATGAACTTGGTAAATACTGGTGTGATAGGAGGGAGAAAATGGAAAAGGCTGCAAATCCCACTGCAGTTAATTCCTTAATCCAATATTAAGGATCCTAGATCTGTCTGTACAAATATTGACTACTGTCCAAGAACATAAAAGCAGTAGTTCAGCCTTAAAAGAGACAGGAGCGCTTCTCTCTCTGGGAAGAGCATTTAGAAAGAAAATAGGTTTCTTCCATAGAAATTAGAGGTGCGGGTCACCAGCTGGTGTTTATTTGTGCAGTTATGACATGAAAATTTATTTCACGATGCCATCCTAGTCTGTCTTTCTTTTGGCCACTACTGTCCTCTGGTTAGGTAACATCTGCCCTAGAACACAATTGGTTTGAGCTTAGAGTTTGAATG